TTAAGATGTAAGAGTTAGTTAATAAGAAAACCTGAGCTAATAGACCAAGCAGTGTTGTAATCAATATAGTTTCTGTGTGATTTTCCGGTCTGGGCAGCTGGAAAACAAATGCATGGTCTCCAGCTACAGGTCTCTGCATCTGTTACCATCTTTTGCCAGAGGAAGCCTCTCTGATGATGACTGGGCTAGGCACCAATCTATGAGTATAGAAAAATATCATTAAGAACCATTTCATTGACTTTGGGGGGGGGGCAGTTTAGTTCTACCCTAGGAGTCTCTGAGCCATCCAGTTCCCAGTTCCTGAATATCTAGGCATTGTCAGGCATGGGCTCCCTCTTGAAGCTTGGGCCTCAAGTTAGACCAGTCATTGGTTGGCCACTCCCACAAGCTGTGAGCTGTCTGTCATTGCTCCAGCACATCTTGCAGGCTAGACAGGTGTGGGTTGAAGATTTCGTGACTGGGTTTATGTCCTGGTCCCACCACTGGGGACCTAGCCTGGTTACAAAAGATGGCTTGTTCAGACTACATGTTGTTGTGGAATATTATTTTAAGATGTGTTAAACTTATTTACGCTGTGGAACATTTGTTTTAATGATGCAAAGATGTTGCATTCTTTTACATTGCTTGTGGTTTTTTTTCATATTGCATATGTTTTATTACAGCTATACATGTAAGCATATCATACTTGAATAAACAGACAAACATTATATTCCAAAAGAAACATCACATAACTATTCCCCTTAATCAGTTAGCATCAGTTTTTTCTTTCTTTTTTTTAAATTTATTTTATTAAAGATTTCTGTCTCTTCCCCCACCGCCGCCTCCCCTTTCCCTCCCCCTCCCCCAACTAAGTCCCCCTCCCTCGTCAGCCCAAAGAGCAACCCTGATTACATTGCTTGTGTTTAACTCTGTTAAGCTGTGTTACTTTGCCTGTCTAAAACACCTTACTGGTCTAATAAAGAGCTGAATAGCTAATAGCTGGGCAGAGAAAGGACAGGTGGGGCTTGCAAGCAGAGGCAATAAATTGGAAGAGAAATCTGGGAAGAGAAGATCAAAGAACAAGAGAAGGAGAGAGGACACCAGGGGCCAGTCACCCAGCTACACAATAAGCCATGGAAAGGTATAGAGAAATAGACAAAGATAAAAGCCCAGAGGCAAAAAGTAGATGGGCTAATTTAAGAAAAGTTAACTAGATACAATCCAAGCTAAGGTCGGGCACTCATAAGTAATAAGTCTCCATTTGATTTATTTGGGAGCTGGGTGGCAGGCCCCCAGGAGTAAAAGAGTAAACAACAACACGTATCCTCCAGTACTAGGTTGTATGAATTTCAGGGTCACAGGGAAGCCGAACACAGCAGTAGAAGCCTTTTATCTTTTGTGGGACTTGTTTAATTTTATGGAGGATAGAAGCAGAGTAAGAAAGGGAGAGATCTCAGTGACCTACCTTCTGGAACAAGATTCCATCCCCTAATGTTTCTAGAACCTTCCAAACCAGGGCTGCCAGCTGAGAGTCAAGAATTCAGTGGCTCCCCTGGGTGAGAAATTTCATATTTATGTTATAATACCTGCCTTACACTGGGGTGACTGAGTTTTATCTTTTCCTATTGAAAACTTGTATGCCCCTTTAATATTCAACTATACTAATATTGAATGTGAAGTCTCCGTCAGAAGTTCATCAATGCCCGCTTTCCTTTCCAGCAAAGGCATCTTTTAACTCTTCACATGCCTTCACTGTCTGCAGTTGTTACTGTAACTTAGGAAATGCTTGCTTCCGTTTTTGGGTTTTCAGCTGATGGTGCCTTGGCCCGTGTTTTTGGGCCTGACATGTTATGGCAAGGGTACATGGTACAACAAGCTACTTACCTCGTGGTGTCCACCAATCAAAGAGAAAAAGAGGAGAGCCCGGGATCTCAGTGTCTCCTCTAAGGGCATGTTCCCAGTGACCTGAGCCCTCCCACTAGCCTCTGCTTCTTAAAAGTTTTCGTTACCTCCCAGGAGTGCCAGGCTGGCAAGTAAGGATTTCTCGCGTGAAACTTTGGAAGGTATGCAACATCTAAGTTGCAGCATTGTAGTCGTGTTGTGTGTTATTATACAACATTCTTATTTTCTTTTATCTTTATACATTCAAATTGTTTCTATTGTTGTGGTTGTTGCTTTATAAGGCCAGTAATTGCCTTCCAATTTTTTTAGGCTAATCATTCCTTCTTACAGTTTAAAAATTTAAGTTCAAAATCCTTTAACAGATTCTGTAGTGAAAGCCCACTGGTCTTGTCTGAAAATATTTTTTGCCTTAATTAAAATCTAGGTTGGCAGCTATCTCCCGTTGGCACTTTGAAGTCGCTCTTCTATTGTCTCAGACCTCAGTGTTACTATGGAGATGTCTGCTCGTCTTGGTGTCATTCCATTGAGAGGTAATCTGACCTTTTTTAAGGACTCTCAAGACCTCCAGATTCTTTACTACTTTCTTCTGTAGTTTCACTTCTATGTCTAGTAATGCATCTTATTTATACACACCACTCTGCATACTTCCCTCGTCTAAAGACATCAGAGATTTCTTTGAGCATTGTCTCTCTCGGGCTCTCTAGTCTTTACTTCTAGGTCTTCAATTAGATTTTCACCTTTCATCTGAGTTTCCTTTATTTCTTTCTTTTCTGTTTCACGGCTTCTTGGTCTTTTACACTGTATTTGGGGACACTCCCGCAGAGCTTTCAGTTCATAATTTTTTGTTAAGATGTGTTTTATATGCTCTTTATTTTACCACTGAGTTTTAGATTTCAATAACTAAAATTTACATTTCTAGAATTTAAAAATAATCTATCTAGACCTTTTTGAGACAGGGTTTCACTGTGTAGCTCTGGCTGGCTTGGAATTCCCTATACAGACCAGGCTGGCTCCAAACTCAGAGATCTACCTGACTCGGCTTCTTGAGTGCTGAGATTAAACTATGTGCCTGGCTATCTGGTACTTCTTGACAGTGCCTTTTATTTACTCTCCTGCTTTTTGTCCAGTATTTAAAAACATCAATAAATATTTGAGCGACAGTTAAAAAATACCTATTATTCTAATAGTGAAAACCACCAGGGTACTATTTTTATTGCAAACATTTTATGGTGGATCTTGTTCATGATGGCTTGTTTTTGTTTATTTGTTTCAGTTTTGGGATTGTAAATTTCAGGATAGGGCTTTATCTCTGAGATCTGTGGAATCTTTAACGTGGTTCTCACTTGAAAGGATACACTTGCTTCTTTCCAACTAACTGAATGCAATAATCTGGTACTTCACTCTTAATTGTTTTGGGGCTTTCCAGATTGTGTGCAAATGAAAATTCTAAATCTGTATGCTGCAGATACAGGAAAATATCATAAAAATCAACAGCATAGAAAATCCTTGAAAAGGATCCTCAAGCACATCCTTTTTCCATCGTTTAGGTGTTTCTTTAAGTTTGCCATTTCGTGAAGAACATTGTATTTCAAATCTTCTTATTTTAAATGGAGAGTTTTACTTCCAACATGGGCTTTAATAAGACTCTGTGAGGATGAAAGCTTTATCTTCTGCCAATGACTTTTAAAATTCATGGTTATGTAACTGAGACAGGTTAATGCCTTTATGATAGCAGTGGGTTAAGTACCACTTTAATAAGCCAGCTTTCAGTTCCTTACGTAGATGTCCTGTGTGCTTGTAATAAGATTTTTGAGAGGTAAATTATACATCTTAGTAGTTTGACAGAAATATTTCATCCAGTACTTATGGGTGATTGTGTGTACCTGTGTTCATATGTGTAAATATATGTATATGCACAGAGGCCAGAGGTTGGTAATACATCTCTTCCTTGATCTCCACCTAATCATTTTGGAGTCTCTGGCTGAAACCAGAGCTCACCAAATGACTGGATAAAAGCTTAAGGAATCCACCCGTCTTCTTCCCTCCACAACCAGCACCAGGATTATGGGTGCACAAACCCATTGATACATTTCATATTTATATAAACAAACATTTCTTATTGTGACCAGGGATATTAACTTTTGGTAACTGCAAAGAATGGAGATCGCTTTGTAGAACAGGCATAGTGTATTCAAAAAGATCCTATAGTAGGCAGGATAATGATTCCCGCAACAAAGAAATTTGTCTCTATAAATCCAGGAACCACAAATTTTTTTAAATTATTTTTTTACGTTTCATAAGGGTCTTTTCTGATGCGGTTAAGAATGCAGACATGGAAATGAGATTATTCTGGTGAGCTCTGAATCCATCCTGGTCAAGTCGATGAGTCTTGATTTCTTCCACCTTCGGGAAGGAATGCAGCTTCTGACATTGGATTTGGCTTCAGGAGACCCACATAGGAATTGTGGCCTACAGAAATCATAAAGACATTAATGCTGTTTAAAACACAAAGTTTTGAGGGAACCGGTTACAACCGCAATAGGCAAGAGGCTTATTCCAGCTAAATCAACGACATACTGCGTAGTACACGAACATTGTAACACGTGCAAAATGACATTCTGGCTTCATTAACTTGGCGGGGAGGTGTCAGACAACGGGCAGCATCCATTTAGCTCGTGCTGGAGAGGGCGACAGGCTGCGTGGTGTGCGCTTCTTCATCAGGGCGTTTCACGAGGTTAAAACTCCGGGGTTAGTTAACCGAACCCCCCCTTCATACCTTGTTTGTGCAAGGCCTGCTGGTTTTGTTACAATAAACTAGGTATACCCAATAAGACGACCTCTTAAAGCTCGCCCTCCTGAAGCTCCCAGACGACGAAGCCAGCACAAGGACAGCAGTCTTTGCAAGGTTCATACTGTCCTTTCCCGCTCTTGGGGAACGCCACGCGCCTGGAGCCTCAGCAAAAAATAAATAGATAAATAAAAGTCCTAAATCGGCTTTGAGTACCAAATCTCGCGATATTTGGACGTCCGCAGACCGTCCGGGCCGACCGAGTCCAGACGGGAGCTCGCTGGAGCCGGCTTGGAGGCTAACCCATCTTCTCGCGATATTTGCAGGGAGCGCCTAGGTCGTTCTCGCGGGATTTCGGCGCTGCGGCTGGTCGCTGCGGTGACCCCCCACCCCGAGCTCGGCGCTCCCGGCTGGCGATGCCAGGCAGGCAGCTTCCGTGCCGTGCCCTCCTCGCCGCCGACCGCTAGATGTCGAGAGCGGCGGGGCTGCCAGGCGCCTCCCCCTGGCCCGATGGACGCCTCCTCCCCGCAGCCCCGCGCGGAATCCCGCAAAGGTATGAGCTCCGAGCTCGCGCCTCTGCGCTGACACGCGCCCCGGAAGGGACTTCCGGGAGAGGCTTCCGCGTGGTTTTTTTGATTGGCAGCTGACGCTCTAGACCCCTTTCACCGCGGGAACCTGAACGTCAGGAGTTAGTGCTGCCCCTCGCCCTGGGAGCAGACACCTCATCTTTTCAATGGGGACAATTGGGTTTCATGACTATTAGATGAGATGTACGCAAGTGACTCCACTTTTGACCCATAATAAGCATTCAGTAAATGTTAGATATTTTTCCTTTCCGTCTTTGCATATGCCAGTCACTAGTCGATAGTAGGAATTTGTTAAGTGGATGAGTGAAGGCCTATTTAGTTAAGTTTTAGTCTTATTACACAGACAGCTTATTACATGGTGTATTGAAGCCGAATTCTGCCTCTAGTAGACCACCAAGAGTTTTTGAAGAAGGCATGGTTATTTCATAAGTATCAGGATGCAGGCTTGCCCCCTAACTTATATTAATTACAGTGATTGCTATAACTGATTAAAAATCGTTTTGTGTATGCTTGTGTGTGCATGCACCAGGCATGTGGACGTTAGAGGACAACTTGAGCATGTCAGTTCTCTCCTTCCACCTTGTGAGCTGTGGGGATGGAGCCCAGGCCACCAGTGTTAGTTGCCAGTTGGCTTACAGGTGGAGCATCCTATAGACCTTACAGAATGAATATACAGTTGAGTGTTTGTTGCCCAGGAATCTTCTGATAAATTTTGCTTTTCCTTTGAGGAAGGTCTCTTGAAAGCAAGGCGGGATCCAGTGCTAAATCTCAGAGTAGGCAACAAGCCCTGAACTCTGGGGCTATAAATTGATAAAGTCATCATAATTAAGGGCCCACGAATATAAATGCCTTTGTGAGTCTGTCTGCTAAAGGCAAATAAGTAGAACTTCTTTTTTTTATTGATTTTATTGAGCTCTACATTTTTCTCTGCTCCCCTCCCTCTCTCCCCTCCCCTTCAACCCTCTCCATGGTCCCCATGCTCCCAATTTACCCAGGCGATCTTGTCCTTTTCTACTTCCCATGTAGATTAGATCCATGTATGTCTCTCTTAAGGTCCTCATTGTTGTCTAGGTTCTCTGGGATTTTGATTTGTAGGCTGCTTTTCTTTGCTTTATGTTTAAAAACCACTTACGAGTGAGTACATATGATAATTGTCTTTCTGGGTCTGGGTTACCTCACTCAATATGATGTTTTCTAGTTCCATCCATTTGCCTACAAATTTCAAGATGTCATTTTTTTTTCTGTTGTATAGTACTCCATTGTGTAAATGTACCACATTTTCCTTATGCAGTCTTTGGTTAGGGGCATTTAGGTTGTTTCCAGGTTCTTACTATGACAAACAATGCTGTTATGAACATAGTTGAGCACATGTCCTTGTGGTACGATTGAGCATCCTTTGGGTATATACCCAAGAGTTGTATTACTCCATCTTGAGGAAGGTTGTTTCTTAATTTTCTGAGAAATTGCCATACTGATATCCAAAGAGGCTGTACCAGTTTGCACTCTGACCAGCAATGCAGAAGTGTTCCCTTTACCCCACAACCTCTCCAGCATAAGTGTCGTCAGTGTTTTTGATCTTGGCCATTCTGACAGGTGTAAGATGGAATCTCAGAGTTGTTTTGATTTGCATTTCTCTGATGACTTAGGATGTTGAGCATTTCCTTAAGTGTCTTTTAGTCATTTTAGATTCCTCTGTTGAGAGTTCTCTGTTTAGGTCTCTACTCCATTTTTTTTTATTGGATTGTTTGTTCTTTTGATGAACAGTTTCTTGAGTTCTTTGTATATTTTGGAGATCAGCCCTCTGTCCAATGTGGGGTTAGTGAAGATCTTTCCCATTCTGTAGGCTGTCGTTTGTCTTGTTGACCATGTTGATTTACAGAAGCTTTTCAGTTTCAGGAGGTCCCATTTATTAATTGTTTCTCTCAGTGTCTGTGCTACTGGGGTTATATTTAGGAAGTAGTCTCCTGTGCCAATGCGTTCAAATGTACTTCCTACTTTCTCTTCTATGAGGCTGACTTTATGTTGAGGTCTTTGGTCCTTTGGACTTGAGTTTTGAGCATGGTGATAGATATGGATCTGTTTTCATTCTTCTACACGTTGGTATCCAGTTACGCCAGCACCATTTGTTAAATATGCCTTCTTTTTTCCATTTGATATTTTTTGCTTCTTTGTCAAAAATCAGGTGTTCTAAGGTATGTGGATTAATATCCATAAATGATCCCTGGAAATAAGATGCAGGGAAACTACTCACTACCTTTCTTTGACATTGTTCTTCATTTTATACCCATTATGTGGTGCAGTGTCTGATAAATAATCGATGTTCAAATCATGTATGTTGAATGTCAAATTAAGGAATTAGGTTTTAAAAAATCAGAGGCAGATACATCATTTAAAACAGAAATTATGTGTTAGGAACGGCTGCCATGGTATCGTTAGCTCAGGCTCAGCTAGCGCTGTCCCAGAGAGAAGACACTTGGACCTGCACACCCTTCATGCCTGGACAGTAGAGTAGGGTATTAATTTCATAATAGAATAACAGTTCTCAGTTTGGATCTTAAGAATAGAGCGGGAGAACATGGTTTTTTTTTTTCATGTGTATTTAGGATGACTATAGTAAAACCACCTCAGCAAAGTTAGTGGGAATAATGCTTTTGAGGAATAATTGATGAAGGCCATCAGCCTATACCTATCATTATAACATTAAAACATAAGAAATGCTTTGAAGTTCTAACTGGAACTTCTCAGGAAGATCCTAGGAAAGCACTGATGGTCTTGTGGTATCAGTGAGGAGTGTGTAAGAAAAATAATCCCCAGTATCCTTACAGTTATAGCCGTATAATTTCTTGGATCCTTTCAATGAGGAATTCCATTTGGAAAATTACCTTTTCTTAGTGCTCCCCATTTTGTTCTCCTTAAGCTGCTTAGTAGTGTATTCTAGGAAACCTCTCCCCACTCCTGCTGTCTTCAGAAGAGAAAACAAGACAGTTGGCTGAATAGTTAACAAAGAGTGAGTTCAGGTGCATAGAAATCAGTATCTTCAGTAATGGCGGGATCTTACAAAGGGCTCTTAGGACTCATTTTTGTCTCTCTTTTCAAGACTTATTTTATTTAAGGTGTATGAGTGTTTTGCCCGTGTATTTATGTGCACCACATGTTTGCCTGGCACCCAGGGAAATCCGAAGAGGGTGTTGGATAACTTGGAACTGGAGTTATAAATGGTTGTGAACCACTGTGTGAATACTGGGAATTGAACCCTGGTGTTCTGCAATGGCTTCAAATACTTTTCAGAGCCCTCTCTTACAGTTTAAAATATTCAACACCCAAAATAGATAAGCTGTAATGGTTGTGGCGTCATTGTAGTCAGATAAGAGGTTCCCGTGGCTTATTACATACCCGTGTTCAGAGAAGGATGGAGTCAACAAAAAGCTCATGTCACAGAGTTGCTTTCCTGAAGATTCCAGCTTACTCTTTACTGTGCCTGTTTCTCTTGCTGTATCATATAAGGAGGATGTGTATAATATTTGTGAATCAGCAAGAATGTTTAAATCGGTGGATTTCAGCTCTGGTTGACCATTAAGATCAATTTTATAGGAAAACATCTGATAATATATTTTAGAAAAATATGCATGAAAACAAATATTTATTTTGTTTAAGTTATTTGGAAAACATGTTATATTTTCTTTTCTCAGATAAATGAGGTATGACTTCGTGAGCTTTTAGAAAAGCTAATTTTCTTTCTTCTTATAGACAGGTGGTATCCAGGAGAAAGATGTCTTGCTCCTTCTTCAGATGAGAAAAAGCTTTGTGAAGCAACCATAAAGTCTATCACTGTGGATGAAGATGGGAAGCCATGTGCAATTGTCCTGTATTCAGATTTTCAAGAAAAGAAAATACCTCTTCAAAGACTTCAAGAAGTAAAATCAGCTAAACATTTCTCCAGAAGTTTTATATTTGATGATGAAGATTTGGAAAAACCTTATTTCCCAGATCGAAAAATTCCATCATTGGCTAATGCTTTTAAATTATCTGAAGATGGAGACTCCATTCCTTACACTATTAATAGGTATTTGCGCGATTACCAAAGAGAGGGAGCTCAGTTTCTCTACAGGCACTACATCCAGGGAAGAGGGTGTATTCTTGGTGATGACATGGGACTTGGAAAAACAATACAGGTATTTATATTAATTACTTTATAATCAGAGTAAGCTCATCCTATGTATAAGAGTGCATACACTTATGCAAATCTCTTTTTGTAATACCACCTGTTACTATACGTTTTTGTTTGTCTCATTAGCTAGATGGTAAAGTTTCAGAATTGAGAACAGTGACTCGGTGTGTCACTATTTTATCCTCAGTACTTTGTTAGTATGTGGGGAATAACATTTTTCTTAATTTTTATTCTTAGAGAAAATGCCATATGCAATATAAAAAGTTAATTAACATCCAGCTCCCCAAGCCCTTTAAAAACGAAGCAAAATAGCTAAAGATAAATTTGATAATATCTGTAATTCATATTGTAAGACTCGAGCTTTGTAATGAAAAATGAGCTAAATCGCCTTTCAAAGTGGCACTTAATTATACATTTTTAAAAATATATTTTGGTCTTTTTTTTTTTTTTTTTTTTTGGTTTTTCGAGACAGGGTTTCTCTGTGGCTTTGGAACCTGTCCTGGAACTAGCTCTGTAGACCGGGCTGGTCTCGAACTCACAGAGATCCGCCTGCCTCTGCCTCCCAAGTGCTGGAATTAAAGACATGCACCACCGCCCAGCATTTTTTACCCTTTCCTAACTCCTCTTAAATCCTCTGCCTTTCCCAACACAGTATTCTTTCCTCTCTGAAACAGACAGACAGACAGACACACACATACACACACACACACACACACACACACACACACACACACACACACACACACACAAGCAAAAAACCAAAGAAACCAGGCAGGGAATCAACCAAAAACAACACACACACTTAAAAGAAAAACAAAGCAAAGAAACCCGTGGGATCCATTTTGTGCTGACCAAGGACCCTGACCATAAGGCCAGTTCTGGAGTGTGTGGTTGATACACCCATTGCCACGCCATTGAAGACAATGGGCTTTCCCTCTTGATCAGCTATCAGTTGTAAATAGCTTCTTGGCTAGGAGTGGGACTTTGTGCCCACTTCCTTTTTTCCGTTCTGGGATGCTGTCCGTCTTAAACTTGTACAGATCTTGTGCTTGTTGGCACAGTTTCTGAGTTCATGTGTGCTTCAGTCTTACTATACCTAGAACATGCGATTTCCTTGGAGTTGTCCTTAACTTCTGGCTTTGTAACCTTTCTGTTTCCTCTTCTGCTTAGATCTGAGCCTGGAGGGGAAGGGTGTGATGAAGACATCCCATTTAGTGCTAAGTACGTTGAAGTTTGTCACTCTCTGCATTACCATTTTTTTGAAGCAAGCAAAAATCTTTTTGCAAGTATTGTTCTGAAACATTCTCTGTTTCTTTTTATCTTCTGTGAGATGAAAAACAATAAGGAATGTGGTTGTCTCTTTTGTCTTATGAAACCCACTTGTCACCCTCCTTTTTTTTTTTTTTTTTTTTTTTTTTTTGGCTAGGCCTTTGGTTCGAATGTTTGAACTGTTTCCCAGTCTCTCGTTTATTCTATATCAGGAGGTAACTACAGGTGAGGGAAGGTGGCTTATAAAAATGTTTGCTTGGCAGAGTTTAGAAGGGAATGCCTGTGAAAGCAAAGCTTTTCCTGGAAGATATTTTATCTGAAATGCAGGTTATGACTTTTATTGTTCTAATGTGATAATCTTAAATTTTTATCTGTCTGTCTGTCTGTCTGTCTATCTATCTATCTATCTATCTATCTATCTATCTATCTATCTATCTATATTCTGTAAGCAATTTTGTAAATATTCCATCGTAAAGCACCTTCTGATTAGTTTCTTCTGAGGATTAGTTTTAAAAATCTTCATTCTAAATTTGTCATAGATCTGTAAATTGAGATTTGTGTAGACCTGTACTGTGGCGGTGAATTGTGGTAGACCAGGCCTGATCTTCTCCAGATATCCATGTTCGTTTTGCTGTGGAGTAGTAGACCAAGTACAGTGTTTCTCTAATCTTGCATGTCAGTGTAGTTTTGACAGATTTAGGGCAGTAAAAATAGCATAGACGAGATGAGTGCCATTTGGCCCTGGCCCATGACCTACCTATGTGATTCTTCACACCCTTCTTTCCCCTTTGGACATTATTAACACATTATAGTTAGCATCACTTTAATTATATCAGGCTGAGAGATTTCCATGGCTTTAGTCTCCCTGTTCACTTAGGGTGTGTTCTTAACTAAAGGACAAGTTTATACCTTTTTGGGTGTGGGTGAATGAAGCAGTAAAGTTAGAAGTTAGTGTATATTGTTGTTATCATTAGTGTATTTAAGGAATTAGGTAAAGCTGATTTCTAATTGGATCTTAAAATGTAGCTACGATATTTTACAAAAGTCTGAGTGTTTTTAAAAATGATTTGTTCTTAATTATGTGTGTGTATGTGTGTTTCTGTGAATGAGCATGAGCACATATGTGTGCAGGTACCTGAGGTGTTCAGAGAAAGGTGTATGATCCCCTGGAGCTGGAGTTGCAGGCAGTAGTGAGCCCCCCAGTGTAGGTGCTGAGAACCAGACCTGGTCCTCTGCAAGAGTAGTGCACTTCTTAGCTGCTACACCATCTCTTCAGCCCTAGATCTGAGATTAAGTAAATGAAAAGCATTTCATGTTTTTGCTTTAGGGAATTTGGGAAATCTAGAATTAAGATTATTTTGGAAGTATTCTAAAGTATTCTATTTGTTTTCTCTAGTCACTTTTAATAACTTTTGTGTCTCAGTTTTTGTTCTACGAAGCACCCACTTGTGAATTTTTGATAATTTTTTATTTTGGTGGTGGTGAGTAATTAATATTTCTAACTACTGAGCCTATGGCTTAAGTTTTTTTTTTAAATGAACAACTTTTATTTCTTCAAATAAATCTCATTACCATTCCTTTCCTTCTCTCATTTGGGTTTAGATAATTGGTATCTACATATTAAAATCACTTTTCTCATAAGGTGTGTATTGACAAACAAATGCGTGGATGCAGTCACACCTGTAATTCCAGCACTTGGGAAGGATGAAGCAGGATTGCTACAAGTTTGAGGCCACCTTGACCAGGTTACTAAGTGAGCTTTAGTCTTCCCTGGGCTAGAGTAAAAAAGGTCTTTGTCATCCCCCTTCCTTGTCCCCAAATCCAAACTTCCTTTATAGTTTTTCTACTTTCTTTTATAAGTTTTCTCTAGATTTCAGTATTTCTATAATTTATTTTTTAAAGTAATGATTTATTTACTTCTATATGAATACCCACCTCATACACTTTCATCCCAAATCTTTAAAACAACCTTGCCGATATTATTTTTTATCATTTTTGCAAAGAACTATTTAGGGAGTTGAATCACCTTGCTGAAGTTCACACAGCTGCCAAAGAACCAGAGCTAATGTTTTAACCAGCAGGCGTCTAATTGGTTGAATGTTACTTGTTGTTGATTGTGTGACTACACGTGCTTTTTCTTATTTTTAGTCTTATTTAATTTTTGGAGAATAGCCACTATTTAAAATGGTATGTGTATTGATGATATTGATGAGTTGTGGTACCCTACCTTAAACTGGCATTGCCATTCATTAGATAAACAAAGGTACTAATCTATGAGGCAAATATTTCTTTCTTTAAGGAATTCATTTTTTACAGGAAAAGAAAAATGTATAGTTTATTCTAGAGGCTTTGAGAAGATAGTATCCATGGATAGAAACAAATAGTAAGGTAATATCTCAGATGAGGGAATAAAGAAAGAATTCATCAAATGGGCAGAATTGTTCTGAGATGATGGCTATGTGGAGTTTTATGTGTTTAAAGGTAGTATTATTATATGTTTGCTTGTTAATTCAAAGAAAGTACCAATATTTTTATGCTTCCTCTGACATATTTTTGTTTGTAGTTTACTGATTAGTTTGTCACATGTACAGTGAAATTATGCATAGTGATAAAGTCTTTTTTCTTCCCAGGTTATTTCATTTCTGGCTGCAGTTTTGCATAAAAAGGGAACTCGTGAAGATATTGAAAATAACATGCCAGAGTTCTTACTAAAAAGTATGAAAAAGGAACCCTCTTCTACGGCCCAAAAGGTAAAATGTCTTGAAGTATTTAGCTTATAAAGCTGGCATTGCAAATACAGAAGCATTTAATCACAATATAATGTATTATACATTTTAAAACAGGAATTTAGACATTAAACTATTTATTTAATTAGACTATTTTTGGAAGGTTGCCAGTTTCATCTGCTAGTTGAATCAAGTTATATCTCAGACTTGCCCACCCTGTAACTAATCCAGGCCTGGCTCTGCTGAGATCAGACAAGATTGGACATGTTCAGGGTAACATGCACAAAATAAGAGGTTTGTAACAAAATTAATAAAACAGTAAAATTATCAGAAGCGTTACGCTTGCAGCCTTTGTGTGTATACATATGTATGCAGAGGCACATGCACTTATGCTAACGAGGACCAGAGGTCAGTGTCTGGTGTCTTCTTTCTTCACCTTAGTTTTTGAGTTTTTGAGTCAGGGTCTCTCAGCAAACCTGGACCTTGCTGATCCATCTAGACTGGCCGGCCACAAGCCCAGGAATCCTCTTGTTTCTACGTCCTCAGTGCTGGGACTGGAGGTGTTCTTTTAAACCATGGGTGCTGAGGATTGAATCAGACCCTCATGCTTGCACAGCAGGTCCTTTACCAACTGAGCCATCTCTCTAGTCCCCGTATGTGCTCTTCTGTTGTCCTCAGTATTTAGAAAATTAATAGGAATAAAGATGGAGTGATTAGATGAAGACAATTACTGTTTTATTAAGGTAGTGAACTATATTCCTCAAGTTCTAACACGGGGTTTCTTTAAGATTTTATAAATTTTATTCATAAGATTGCTATGAAGTCCAAGTTTACTCCAATGACCTCAGAAGAGTTATATTTATATAAAAAGTTGAGAAGTACTGGTTTATGGTATTTTTGTTATTACCTTAAATTTTCTTACTATTTTACCAGCATTCATGCGTGTGGTCCGAGATAATAGCTGCCTCAGTTGACACTGGTGTCTTCTTTTATTCTTTCCTTCCTTCCTTCATGTGTCTGTGCATATATATTTCAGTCCTTTGTCATAGCAAACATCATTTTTAATAGATCTTCTTTAGCTGAAATTTTACTAGTTTGTGTTGTCTTGTATTCTAATACATTTCATTAATGTATAGATGTTCCTTTGAGCACTACTGTAGCTCCATTGCTATCTTGATAAGTAGTAGTGTTCTCATTATTCTTGTCTGAATTGTCTGTGACTCAACTCTTGCTCTTTTTACCCAAGTACTATTTAAAAGACAAGTTCTAAAATTTCCAGATAAATATAGTATTTGTGATGGAAGAGCTTAGTTCTTAGGATAATATAACCGAAATATTTCCTTTATAAAGTATTGATACTGTATTTTGTCTAGTCTGTTATGTGAAAATACCCATTATTTTTTGCTTTCTTTGTTATTATGGACACATAGTTGTGTACGTTCTGTTTAACCAAACTTGATTGCCTTCTTAAAAACCTTAATCCTATAATTGAGACAAATTAGAAAGACAAGGATCCTCTTGACTGCTGAGTGTCAAGAATTCCAGCACAATTAGCAGATTTGCTGTGAGAATTGCCTGTCTATAAACATCAGAGCCATTTCAAGTAGAATACTAAGGTACGGAATTTTGCATAAGACTTAAAGGGATATGTCCTTTGAGTTTGGCTCACTCCTTTCACAGCTGTAAACCTGCAAGTCTTTGAGATGCTCACTAGACTATAAACTTTGTTTATGGGAAAAGTCTATGTTTTCACTACCTAGTGATCTACGATAATAGGAATTCCTTCAACATTTGTCACCTGTAAACCTATCCACTGTATCTCAGGAAACAACCTATGATCCCATTTACTGAAAAATGGTATTGAAGGGAGGGTGTTAGAAATTATTTAACAAGGGAACCGCATAGCCACCAAAATTATTTATATGGCAACTGCTAAGATACTTAAACTCAACTCTCTTGACAAACTCATGTCTGTATGTGGCTATGTACTGTTTTTTCATATTTCCTCATCCTGAAACTTTTGCAGTGTAGTCAAGAATCCTGACTTTTCTTGAGTGACAGTCTCTGAAAAAGAACTCAGGCTTGGACAGGTGGCAACTGTGTCTCCTGCTTCTAATATGATTTTCTTGTTTATTTGAGCAACTGAGTTCTGAGAAATTAAATTATCTGTTATGACTGAGATTGTTGTTGGCCTTGTGTTTGTGTTGACTTTCATTAGTCTCTTTAAGTTTGGTTTCATGGATTTTGTTTGTATATTGGTTACATACTTGGTTAACAGATTATTTGATGATTTCTGAGTTCAAAATGTTATAACTTGACCTAAATAATTTTATTATGTTCTGTCATTACGTATTTTAGATGATGGTTCAGTGCTGAATTGATTTTTTTCCCATTGAAAGGAAATTCCTTTTTGTTGAAGTACCTAGCATTCTATCTTTGAAATTTCAAAACAGAGCCCTAATATTTACTGTAGAATTCTTTCAAATAAGTTCACTTTTGAAAAATGTGTCTAGGGGTCAGAAGGATGGCTCAGCAGTTAGGAGCATTTACTATTCTTGAAAAAAGTACCAGGGTTTGATTCCTAGCGTCCACAACTCAAAATCATTTTTAACTTCAGCTCGAGGGGATCATATGCTTCTTCTGGTCTCCACAGGCCCCTGCATGCATATGGTGTTCATATGTGCATATCCACACACACATAAAAATTAATAAATAGACATTTTTCTGAAAAAATATGTACAGTACTTTTTTGTAGGGAAAGCTAAGGAATGATGCCAGAGTAAAGTTTTTGACAAAAGACTCGTTCCACTGATCTTTCTGAAAACCCCTGAACATGACTGTTATTGACCTGGTCCTTCCAGCTGCTTCAGTTTGTCCGTTGGGTTCTGCTCTTGCTTTTGTTTTTATGACTTTGTTTGATGGTTTCTCTTTCACTGGTACTATTGTGGCCTTCTCAGTTCTGCAGCGGGTGGGAAGTACACACCCCTGCCATCTTCCTGGACTTCCTGCTCTGCTGGGAGCTCCTTTCCAGGCGTCACAGCGCAGATCGTTTTCATACTTGTTCTTCATTTTGGTGGCATCAGTGCACTTATGTTTTCAGAGAGTCCATTTGAAGGAGCATACTTTTTTTTTTTTAATTTTTTCGAGACAGGGTTTCTCTGTAGTTTTTTGTGGATTGCTTTTGGGGTGGGTTACTCAGTCTAGGGGTTAGTAACCCACCCGCAATCAAGTTACTCCAGGGTCTCGGAGGGGCGCTACCTGGAAGGGAATGAGCTAAGACAGAAGAAGGAGGCCAAGCAGTTTTGTCAAAGCCTCCGTTTATTAGGGTCATGGTTGCTGTTTATATATGGTAAGGAATGGGGGGCAGGGCAAGGGATCTCGCGAGTCACAAGTGGCCACACCTGGTTCCCTGGATAGCTGGAATGTGAGGCGGGTTCCGCTAAGATTAGCAGTTAATTGGGTGAGGGGCAGGTTTTGTCAATAGAACATAACTATGGGTGTGAGGTTCTCTGCAGACTCCCTAGAGTGATGGTTCCTGTAATGATTGTTAGTGGGAAAATGGCTCCTGACAGTTTTTGCTGCCTGTCCTAGAACTAGCTCTTGTAGACCAGGCTGGCCTCAAACTCACAGAGATCTGCCTGCCTCTGCCTCCCAGCACTCGGGAGGAGCATACATTTTTAAAACATGTTTTGTGAAGCCGAGCAGTAGTGGCGCATGTCTTTAATCCCAACACTTGGGAGGCAGAGGCAGGCTGATTTTTGTGAGCTCAAGGCCAGCCTGGTCTACAAGAGCTATTTTCAGGACAGCTAAGTCTGTTACACAGAGAAACCCTGTCTCAAAAACACAAAGGGAAACAAATGTTTTGTGAAAAAGAGAATAAAGTAAAGCTAATGCCAGGATTAAATCAACCCTGAAACACTGATCTTTAATCTCTTTCAAAAAGAAACACTCAATGAATTAGATGCTACAAATTAAGGATTAGTATTTTGAGCTAGGGATGGATGTATGTGTAAAAGATCTATTTTATATACATTCTAAAACTTTGCAGGTATGAATAAAACTTTGAGGAATGTGTGAAATGTAAGTGCCAATGAATTCCTAAAGGAAAAGACACAAATCATGCATTTCAAGTGCTTATTCTTGGATGATTCATTAGATTTAGGCTAAGTTTATGCTGTACTTTGGTCTTTATGAAATAAATCATAGTAAGTTAATTAAAATATTATCTTTTAAGATCAAACTTTGGAGATTTTAAGAATAAATTGTAAGAGAGGGCGGAGGCTATGGAGACAGCTCAGTGGGTAAGGTACTTGCCGTGATGGGGCCCTGAGCTTGTACCTCCAGTGTCCGTGTAAAAAGTTGGTTGGCAGTTTGCACCCATCACAGTGCTAGCAGCAGAGATAGGCAGAGCCCAGGGCTTGCCAGACAGCCAACCTAGCCGAAATAGGAAGCTCCAGGTTCAATGAGAGAGGTGGGGACCCAGAGAAGAAAACATTCAGAATCATTCTCTGCCCTGCACATCTGTACACATACACATGCACCACACAGGGAGAAAATTAAAATTGAAAAATGAGAGGAAGAATTTCCTAGCAATTACAATACCAGTGTTAGAAAGATTTTCAGTTGTATTGAGCAAAAGAATTTTTCAGCTATTTTATGTAGCATTTACCATCTTTTTTATATGACTTTTTTATATGACTGAAACAATTCATAAGTTTCTGTTTCCTTCTTTTACTGTGATAAAACACTCTGGTCAGATGCAACTTGGGGAGGAAAGGGTGTGTTTATTTGGCTTACACTTTCAGGTCGTAGTCTGTTATTGAAGGGCAGGAACTCACAGTGGGAACCTGGAGGCAGGAACCGTGGGGGAACACTGCTTGCTGGCTCATTCTCTCACTTGCTCTCAGGTTCATGCGTAGCTAGTTTTCCCATAGCTTGTCCAGGATACTACAGCGCACAGGAGGCTAGGTAATCAAGTAATAATAAAGACAGCTCCCCACAGACTTGCCCACAGGCCAGTTTGATCAAGAAAATTCCTCAATTGAGGCTTCTTTTCTAGGTGACTCTAGGTTATGCCAAATTGACTACTAAGACTAACCTGAACAGAAACACTGGAACAGAAAAATAAGGAGCCAAGCAGTTTTAAGAATAGGTCCCAGGAGACTGCATTGCAAATGATGCTACTGTAAACACCATTCTGTGTACAGCTCATCAACCTTTGTAGTTAATAAGTATAGGGTACGTTCTTAAGACAGACCGCAATTGTGAGGGTAGGAAAACTACTGTGTGCCCAGATGGAGTTTGTACCCAGGATTGTCACTCTATAATATACAAAATTCAAAGGGAGACATCACAATTGGACTTAGTATTTTGAATCTTGACTTTGTATTTGAAAGCAGAAAAATTAAATTGTCAGGTGAGCTACAATAGCAAAGGTATTTGAAGGGAAGCAAGAAAGAGAAGGTGCTCCTGTGCTTGAGGAGGAGTGGGGGCAAGGAGCTTACTTTAGTTAAACTTTTGCTTTCTGCTTTCTCTTTACAAACATAGTAACGTATTTTGTTTCTTACAGGTCATAAGTGACCTAGATGAAACATTACACAGAACCTATAAATTGGTTCATCTCTTGGGTAGTGGGGCAAGTATAAACCTTTAGAAAAGTTTACCAATAATACTCTCATATGCAACAAGCTATAAGTATTGGTCATAGGGAAAAATGAAATCATAAAAAATTTTAAGCTGTTGATAAGAGTGGTATCCAGGGTTCAAAAAGAAGAGTGGAACCTCCAAGCACCACTTTGAAAAGCCTGCTGTGGTGGAAAGCTGAATTAATCAGCTCTCCGTCACTGGTACAAATTACCCGAGAGAAGTAACTTTAGAGAAGGAGAGGTTTATTTGGGCTCGTAGTTTTAGAGATTTTAGTTCATGATCTGTTGTCGTGCTCTTCAGCATATGGCGAGGCTCCTCATGATCGGTATCCATGGAGAAGGAAGCCAGCGCGAAAAGACACAGGAGATGTTCTCCAAGGGCATGTCCCAGTAGTTCAGTTTCTTTTCACAGGGTTCTGTCTCTTTAAAGTTCCACTACCTTCCCGGGAACCAATCTTTTGCCACACATACCTTTGGGGGAACACTTGCTATCCAGACTGTAGCTTTTTTCCAAACAGAGAACAAATTCTGTTCACGTGAGTTCAGTAGAGAACAGAGGATGGAGGTAATAAGTACCGACCAGTCTTGAGAACATTGCTGTAAAGGAAGGGACTGGGGGCCAAAGATGTACACTGGAGAAAACCTGTTCTGTTTTGTTTCAGTTTGATTTTATTTTTTTTTTAACCCTGGGAAATGTGCTCATTGATAAAAGTGGTTTGTTATAAAGATAAAGCTGGCATGTGTTGATTCTAGATTGGCAAGAGAGATAGATGGGAGCCACTGAGTATAATCAAACATCATTTTGAAGGACAGAAGCAGTTAATCTGTGGTAAGAGGTGGTAAGGCAGGTGTGTGGAAATAAATATAGATCCAGTTATGATAGAAACCTACGTGGAAGTCCTCTACTCGTTTCAGTTTTCCAGTGAGTTTCTCATGCCTTTAGCACAGGGAAGCTGAGGAAAATGGAGTAGGAAAGAGAAGTGAAAGGAGCCCCAGAAGACTGTTCGGAGAAGGATGCTACCCATTTGCATTGCGTGTTAATTCTTTAATTTGTTGTTGGGATTCTGATTCTTAAAGAGTTACTTTTCTCTTCTTCAATGTCTTTAAGAATAGAAGTGGAAAATGATGATTCTCTTCAGTGGGTTAACTTTGTTGATGTTCTGAGAGAAAGCTAATTGAGCAGAGAGTATTTTTTGAGGATGTTTTGTTCACAGTGAGCAAACCAGTCAGTTGTATCAATTGCTTATAGCACCAAAATCAAAGAGGGACTGTTGATACTGTGTATTTCATGTTGGAGTTCTTATTAAAACATGGATGCTTTCCTTCTGTTTTTAGATGTTCTTAATAGTTGCCCCTCTTTCTGTCCTCTACAACTGGAAGGATGAATTGGATACCTGGGGATATTTCCGAGTCACTGTTTTACATGGCAGTAAAAAAGATAATGGACTGATTCGTTTAAAGCAAAGAAAATGTGAAATTGCTCTAACAACCTATGAAACACTGCGCTTGTGTCTGGAGGAACTTAACAGGTAAAACCGTAAGAGTGACACTGTCAGTGTGCTGCCAACATTAGTCATACGTGTTTTTTATGTCATGATTCAAAACTCAAACGCTTTTAGTTTGGTTTCATGTCAGGGTATAAAGCAGAGTTTGTGATAGTTGACTCCATCTGGAAGGTGTCCTACCACTTCATATTCTATTTTTTAATCTCAGAATAAGACTCCTTTCTAAACCGTACATTTTAAAGAATGGTAGGATTTGTCCCAAGTCCCCTGTACAACACTGTGTTGTTGTACGAGGAGTGGCGGGCTGCATCCTGCCGTCCGGCTAGCTTAACCCCTGAAATAACCACACAGAAATTGTATTAATTAAATTATTGCTTGGCCCATAAACTCCAGCCTCTTATTGGCTAACTCTCACATCTTGATTCAACCCATTTCTAATAATCTGTATGTCACCATGAGGTTGTGGCTTACTGGGAAAGATTCAGCATGTCTGACCTGCAGCTTCATGGCGGCTCCTCTCTATCTGCTGCTTTCTTCCTCCCAGAATACAGCTCTGTCTTCTCCGCCTATCTAAGTTCTGCCCTATCAGGCCAAGCAGTTTCTTTATTGATTAACCAATGAAAGCAACACAAATACTGAAGGACCTCCTACACCACCGTGTAAATGATGCCTCCAAGAGTATTGAAAGCCACTGAGGATATTTTGAGCTGTACCTTAGATAAGAAGCATACCCTGGCATATTTCCAAGATATATAGAAAAATCCCTGATTGGTATGTTGAGCCACATTGATGGAGGAAAACCAATTAAGAGGTTTGTTCTGAACTAACTTGTGCCAAAATTTCTGATTCATGTATATAAGTTCCACCCTTAGACTGTAATCATGTTTAAAGATGTGATTTAAAAAAAAAAAAAAACGGGGCTGTTTGAATAGAGCTATAAGTCAACATAAGGCATCCTTACTAGGTAACAGACAAGTACCAAGAGCGTATGAACAGGGAAGGACATGTGAGTTATCTAATATCTTTTAAATGGTGAAATACATGGTTTCAGTCAGTTTGAATTATAGTCACTTGAAAGAGAGAATGGCAGAAAGCTACCTTAAAGGTGATGTTTTCCAACCATCTAAAATCCCATGGCATGAGAAAATAATGAAGAACAAAAGCTCATAGTAGAATGTATTCAAGAGTGAAGTCCAGCTAGATGAGCTGGTGCAAATCTCCAGGTGGTGCATCTCACATACTCTGGAGGCTGACGTAGGAGAATCATGAATTTAAAGCCAGTGTAAGCAAATATAGTGGGGCCTGTGCTCAAAATATTAATAACAAAGAAGAATAAAAGCAATCACTAATTAGCTATGTGGATTTGAGCAAATCATCTGTCTCATCTGGAAAATGACAGGATGAATTGGATCTGTTTTTGCCAAAATGGACTATTGAGATATGGATGGAACGTTCTCTTGGAATTAACTTAATGAGGTTCAGTTTGTATACCATAATCAATACTGATTTTTAAATGTAGTTAGCTTCCATTTCCACAGGTTCTACATCTAGGAACTCTCAGCCAACTGTAGATTAAAACATTTGCCAGAAAAATGTGTCTATAACAAACGAATGGTTTCCTTAAACAAGTCAGTATAATATTTTTACATACCATTTACATTGTGGAGGGTATTACATATCATCTAGAGATTATATAAAGAACAAAGAATGATATATGTAGGTTATACACAGATAGTATGACATGTAAGAGGTTTGAACATTCATTTATTTTTGTAGCACAAATTCTTGTTCTTAATAATAAAAACCTAGAGCCAGATATTAGGGAGTGAAAACAGAGAGAGCAGAGAAGCCGTGCAGCCAGACACTAGAGAGACCTTTACCTCTACTAATGCTCCCTGAGTCCGCCTACTTTCTCTTTCTATCTCTGTTCTGATTTCCTGCCTGAGTTTGCTGAATCATTGGCTGAAGCAGCTTCTTTAATAACCAATGGTAATAAAACATTCATAACATATAGAGGAGAATCACACGTCATATTATACCCAATTATAATTGGGATTTTTTTTTTTTGAGTCAGGGTTTCTCTGTATAGCTCTGACTGTCTTGGAACTCACTCTGTAGACCACGCTGGCCTTGAAGTCAGAGATCCACCTGCCTTCTGAGAACTGGGATTAAAGGAGTGTGCCACCACTGCCTGGCATAAGTTAATCTTGATGCTCCAATATTCTAATTAGGCTGGTCTGGGCGTTTAACGTAGCTTTGGCTCCTCAGTATCTCTGCTGTGTCCCCCACTGTCCCCCACTGACACTGGCACTGCATGCAGTGATACTTTGTTTGTAATCTAGCAAATAAAACTGCACCCAAGATCAGAGTGCAGAGCTAAGCAACTGGCAGTCATAGAGGCCAGGTAGTGGTGGCACATACCTTTACTCCCAGCACCAGTGGAGACAGGAGTGATATGGCTGGGCAGAGAAAGGAATGTAAGGCAGGAAGAGACAGGAGCTCAGGTGTAGTCTGAGGATTCGTAGAGACAAGACGGCTCCTTTGGTTGGAACATTGGTAGAGGTAAGAACTCTCTAGTGGCTGGCTGCACTGCTTCTCTGATCCTCCAGCATCAATCCCTATGTCTGACTCTGAGTTTTCATTATTAAGAACAATTAGAATCTGTGCTGCATCTCTAGGGTCACAACATTAACCCTTCAGTAAACAGTGTTCATTGTAAGTTTCAAAAAAATACTGCTCTACAGAGAAACCCTGTCTCGAAAAAAACTAAAAAAAAAAAAAAAATACTGCTGTCTATATCCGTGCTTTTCAAATTTAACATAAAGTTTGTTTCTTTTGTGTGTCTGTTTCTGGTTTGTTACTTAAAGGAGGGATAGTCATTTAGCTTTCATTCCAGCATTATCAGATGTGATCTCTAAACCTGCTTTAGTATCATTTGAATTTTATTGAGGTCTACAAAAATCATGGTTTGTTTTTTTTTTCTCATATTTTTTCCTCTATTTATCTGTAACATTCTGTGATCTAGACTCACTTAGCCAAATGAGAACCATTATAATCATCTATGGATAAAGATGTTAGGGAGAAAAACAGTACTATCTAAATTCTATTAGACTAAAGTAAGGATATTTTCTATTCCCTATTATTCCCTTTTTTTTCTTGTAGTTTGGAATGGTCAGCTGTTATTGTAGATGAAGCTCATAGAATCAAGAATCCAAAAGCACGAATTACAGAAGTCATGAAGGCTGTGAAGTGCAAGGTCCGCATTGGCCTGACTGGTACCATCCTCCAGAACAACATGAAGGAGCTGTGGTGTGTTATGGACTGGTGAGTGGAATGCCTAGATAGTTTCTGTTTAGGTGTTTTCTGATTACTAGTCCTTAAGTCACAGCCCCTCCCCCAGAAAACTGGCCACTTAACTGTTTACAGAAATATCCAGCCCCAAACATGTTTCAGTCTAGGAAGTTGTATGAGAAGTCAGCATGTGCCTGTTGGTTCCCAGAGTAAGGAAATGCTGGGTTACTAGTTCCGTCACCTTCAGTTAGAGACAGTCACAAGGAAGGAATGCTGTGCTCCTGGCTCTTGTTTTTCATTAGTAAGTAAGCCACTGAATAGATTCCTTACCAGCAAAGGAATTGAATGCTTTTCTTTTTAGATAATTTAGTAACCTTGTTACATTTTTCTTACTTCCTTTATAAAGGGCTGTGCCGGGACTTTTAGGTAGCAGGAACCACTTCAAGAAGCAGTTTTCTGACCCAGTGGAACATGGCCAGAGACACACAGCAACCAAAAGAGAGCTTGCTACTGGCCGAAAAGCTATGCACAGGCTTGCAAAAAAGATGTCTGGCTGTTTTCTCAGGCGCACCAAGACCCTTATCAAGGGTCAGCTACCTAAGAAAGAAGACCGGGTGAGAACTGTATTTGTTTGTATTATTAATTACTCATCACAATTTTTTTTTCCTGAAAAGCATTATTTTTTTAGGATTCCTTTTGTTACATGTGGAATTTCAGAAAACATCAACTGAGCTCAGTTTTATTTCTTTCCTGGTTTTACTGACCTGTTGGCTATTAGGCCTGCAATTAGTACCTGTGTTAGTTAAATTTCTGTTGCCATGATATATTCTAGAGATAAGTCACTGTAAAAGGTTTCATAGGTTGTGGTGTGACCGTCACTAAATCTATAAAGACAGAAGCACAGGTGACCCGTGTAGGTGAGTGTGGTGTGACCGTCACTAAATCTATAGACAGAAGCACAGGTAACCAGTGTAGGTGACTGTGGTGTGACCGTCACTAAATCTAGTGGGCGTTGTGATGACTCCTCTCATTGCTATAGAAATCCTCATAACTTTCCTCTCGTTGGTCTGCAGATGGTGTATTGTTCTTTGACAGAGTTCCAGAAAGCTGTTTACCAAACAGTGTTAGACACAGAAGATGTAGCTTTGATCCTTCAGTCCTCCCAGCCTTGTACCTGTGGCAGTGGCCGGAAAAGGAGAAACTGCTGTCACAAGGCAAGCATTCCCCTTACCTTCACTCTTTCCTTCTGTGCCAGTGAGACCACTGTTCTTCGGTTCTTTAACTTTAGAAGCTGTGTTTTTAGAAAGTTATCAAGGGGCCAGGGAGATGACGTGGTAAGAAGAAGTGCTGGCAACACCAGCCTGACAAGCCGAGTTTTGATTCCCACAACCCACGCAGATAGCATGCGCAGCAGGCTGTGTGATCTCAGTGCTCCTGGCAGGATGGCATTGTAGGCAGGAAAATCCATGGGAGCTGCAGGTCAGTAAGAGAGTCTGCTTCAAAACAAGGTGGAAAGCAGGAATTGCATCTTAAAGGTTATCCTCTGGTCTCCACATGTCTGCCATGGCACATGCATACTACACGGGTAATCACAAATTAATCAGAAATGCTTTACAATCTCAAATCACTACTATAAAATACAATATTCAGATAGCAACAAAACCTAGTTTAGAAATTGAGCTTCAGTTTGGTATCTTACTACTTATTAGGAAATAATTTACTTTCATTCTAAAATTCCATTTTTACAAATTTTTCATCCACTGCTGTTAAGAATGAATCAGTGCTTTGCTGATGAAATACCACTCCTAGCCACAGTGTCTGCTTAAATAGAGCACTGTGTTAATAGAACAAAAAGTTTCCTTAGAGATAAAAAAAATTACTTGTTTTCCTATCTGTTGTTTGTTTGTTTGGTTGGTTGGTTAGTTGGTTTTCTGAGACAGGGTTTATCTTTGTAGCCCTGCCTGTCCTGGAACTCACTGTAGATCAGGCTGACCTTGAACTCACAGAGATCCACCTGCCTCTGTCTCCCAGATACTAGGATTAAAGGTGTGCGGCACCACTGCCCAGCTTTTATAAAATTTCTTCTTATGTCACACACCTGTGATGATTACAGGGATCCAAGTATTTCTCTAGATTGCTTTTTATTCAGTCTAGCTGGCTTTGCTCTTTTTAGCCATTTCTATTTTTGTAATACCCCATACTTTTAAAAAGCTTTCTAGTTTTATTATCAGATTTGGGGGTTACACCCTGTTCCCCAAGTCAGATCTGGCCTCTCATCGTAATTCAATTAAAAGAGGAAAGCAAAGGAGATTTAGTAAGCACAGCTACATTGGAAAAAGGGACAGAGATCCATCAAAGTCCTTAAGTCTATGTTCCCATTCCAGAAGTGAGATCAGCATTTAAATAGAGGGCCAAGGATGTGCCATCCCAGCGGTGCCAGTCAAGATGCTGTCCCGCCCACCACTGACCATCAGTGTCTGGGCTTCAGTCTGTAACGTGGTTTTGCAAGTTAGAACTGTGTAAAATCTTTCTGGAAGTCGGGTTCCCTCAATGGCTAGCGTTTTTTTTCAACCTCCCAGTATGAGTTTCTTGGGGAACTCCTGGTTTCTTGGGTTCCATTGTTTCAGTGGTCTGATAGTCTATAACTGGAGGTTTCTCTCCCACCTGCCAGTTCCCAAATAACCACTCTGAGGCTTAATATTAATTACAAAAATGTTTGACCCATTAGCTCGGGCTTATTATTAACTTAAATTGACCCATTTCTATTATTCTATATTTTGCCAAAAGGGTCGTGGCTTGTGACCTCACATCTTGCTTCTCTAAAGACTACTGGCATCTCCCCCCCCCCCCCCCCCCCCCCCACCTTGGATCAGAGGCTCACACAACTCAGCTGTTGTCCTGTTAGTGATCTTCCCCCCCCCCCCCCCCCCCCCCCCCCCCCACTCTGCTAGGATTTCCTGCCTAGCTCTATTCTGCCTGGCTATTGGCCAAATTAGCTCCTTTATTGACCAGTGGTAATAGAACATATTCAGAGCATACAGAAGGGCATCCCACATCAGTAGTCCAATTGAGAGACAAGTGTCTCTTAAGAGTATCTTCAGTTCTGCTGGGCTAGGCGTAAGCAAAGAGTAAAGCATTCTTTAGAACATGGTGACTACATCGTAGTGCTGAACCGGGCCCTCCTGATGGCAGCCTTTCTGTCACTGTTCCATTCCGGAATGGAGGCTCCCCTTGATTAAATAAGCATTGCTATCTTATGATTCATGAAGAGTGATTCCAGGTCCCTGCTTCATGGATATTCTTCCAAGCAGTTGCCTTCACTGTCTTAGATAATTATAAATAAGTATTAGTGTTGTGTTTTATAATTAGCTATATAGCCATGTTGTTAATGCTTTTCTTATTTGTGTTTTCTGTTCTTTCGGTTACAGACTAATTCACAGGGTGACAAAGTGAGATCGCTGTGTCTTAGTTACCTGACTGTGCTACAGAAAGTAGCAAACCATGTCGCTCTGCTGCAGACAGCCAGCACCTCCAAACATCAGGTGGGGGTTGACTTTACATTTTTCTGTGTTGCTGTTGGTATAAAACTCATACTGTACAGTGTTGTTAACACACACACACACACACATACACACACACACACACACAAACATAGCTCTCATCTTAAAGGAAGTAAAGGATACTTTATTCTGGAGCTATTTCAGTGACCAGAGCCTAGAAAGAAGGATTTAGATTATCCCAAATTCCATATTTTAACATGGAAGTGGTTTTATGGGGTTTTATAGTTTACTGAAGAAGGAAAGTCACAAATTGAGGCAAGTTTTATACTAGTGGGTACATCAGAGAGATGGGTACAAGATGGCAAAACTATTTTTATAGGCTCAGTATGCTATTCTGCTAACATTCTTAGCTTCTGGGTTGTTGGAAACTAAGATCCCCAATTCTTTATCTGTTAGCCACAAAACGTTAGTTCTGACATAGAGGTAGGCAAGGTGTGGCTCTCAGAGAGTGGGACTAAAGCTCCACCCGTTAGCTTCTGAAGCTGCAACATTTCCATATGTCCACAGTATTGCAGCGCTGATCAGTTGATTAGTCTCTGCAGACACAGCTTCTTTCCGGAATTCTCCTTCACATTATCTTAGCTAAATACTCTTTCTTGGCTTTGTTTGGTTTGGTTTGGTTCTGGTTTTTCGAGACAGGGTTTCGCTGTAGCTTTGGAGCCTGTCCTGGAACTAGCTCTGTAAACCAGGCTGGCCTCGAATTCAGAAGGCAGATTACATTTGTCTTTTTACAAAGTTTTATTTTTTGCAGGTTTAAATATGTATTGAAATTTCTTCTTCCTTCTCTCAGGAAACACTTATCAAGAGGATATGTGATCAGGTATTTTCCAGATTCCCAGATTTTGTGCAGAAAAGCAAAGATGCAGCCTTTGAAACACTTTCTGACCCTAAGTATAGTGGGAAAATGAAGGTACGTGCACTTCCTTCAGTTTGCATTCAACCAGGAATGCTGCACAGAAAAGTTTGATATGCAGTGGTACAGCAAGGACACCAGCGAGTCAGGACAGATCCCAAACCCTGAGAAGTGATGGAGATTGTAAGCTGTGCACACAATGGGTTCTCGGTGGCAGTTGATCAGATTACTTCAGACTTTTCCTTACTAATCTATTGGGCTTAAGAGCACTTAAAATAGATGCACATATAACACATATGTGCAGATACAAGGCCTCTATATCTAGACTAGATTTTCTGCCTCCAATTTTTGTTTGCTGACCTGGATAGTAAAATTGCAAGGGAGCATTTTGTTCTGCTCAGGGAAACTGACTTCTGGCCGTGTTGTTCTTGGTACTGCACTACTAAAGGGGTATGGGAAGGAAGCCTTAGGAAGACCTACGGAAGCTTGGGTTTCTGGACATTACCTGTCATCGTAGTGTGACTGCCTTCTGCAAGAAGCCAAGTTTGCTTGACCCCTCAATAACTATCAAGAATCCCTCATTTATGGGCTCACAGATTTTTATAGAACAGTTCCCAGCCTTATACTACAATTAATAAGATGGTAAGTTATTTATTTCTTTTGGCAAAGGGAATAAAAAGGAAGTAATTCAGATTAGTCAATTAGTGTCTTATCTAGAAGTGCTTTTAGCTGTTATTCTAGATAAGCTCAATGTGATTTAGTTGCCTAGAACCTAGAATTTTAGTGAAACAAAATAGGTGAAATAGGATTACATTAAAAATTTATTTTAAAAATTAAATTAATTTGTATTCATGAGAATATTATGATTTATTCAAAAAATAATTAAATTATAACAATCTCTTTTTAGCCATTTTATTTATTTATTTTAAAATTTCAAAATATAAGAGCCAGATTCATTTAGAGTTTTATTTTTAGAAATTATAGTGTGTAGTTAAGATAATGATTAGATTTCATTTTTATTTTTATTTTGGTTATTGAAAACTGGATAGGCATCTTGGTTTCTATGGAGAACAGTTGATTTGCAACTTCTGACTGATTGCTAGTCACACGGATCTTGACAGTAATAAGCTGGAGATGTATACCACAGGGCTGTTTGTTTCTTATCATGTAAGGTAATTAGCAGCATTACCTTTGACATACTGTTTGGTAATTTATAGCCTATAGGCTTATCATAGAATTATTGCTGTGAGGTTAAAAACTTCAATTGTGAATTCAGACATGTTGAATTCTCTGTCTATCCCTTGGAGAAATATCACAGACCCACTTACTAAGAGAGCTACAAAGTCTAGGGAGCCCAGATCAGTGTTCTGTGACTGAAAGACACCTCGTTCATCCTTCTAGGCCAGTCTGAATAATTCAAGAAACTTATATCTAAAAATGTATTTACTTTGAATACTCTCAAATTCATAGGTAGATTGTTTTATGGAAGCTAAGTAAAGATCTGTATTATTAAAGTGTCAACATATATTCGTGGTACTGCCATTTTTGAATTTTTGGTAAAAACCCTTAATTTATGATTATTCATTTAGTGAGTTGTTTTTCTTTAAATTAGCCTAATGTTAAGACCTGCAGTCAGGAGAAGAAAAATTCTCTTCTCATTACTTATTTCTGCTTTTACTTTTAAATACCTCAAATGACAACAGATCAGAAGCCATCCATGTCCAGTGACATGAATAGATTTCTGTTTAGAATATTTCTGGTTGAATACATTAGCATCTTCCAAGGGAATAAAAGGACAAGCTGCAGACCAGAATGTCTTTACAAGATGATGAAGGATTGGTATCCAAAATACACAGAGAATCTTAAAACTCAGTAGTAGAAAATAGGTAATCTAGCTTAAAAGTGGGCGAAAGATCTGAACAGATAATTTAGTACAAAAAGAAGGTCAGATGGCGAGCAAGCTCAATGGAAGATGCTGCCCACGGCTATATAACTGCAAAAATAAAAGGGAACCGGTGCATGCCTGTTACGGCAGCAAGTCCAGACCGCTGGAGCACCAGGTGCTTCTCCTCTTCCATCACAGGTGAAGCTACAGAGTGAGTTGGTCTCTCTGGAAAATAGTCTGGTGACTTTTGGCAAAGCTTTTACTTTTGGTAATGGTAAATGCATAGCATTTAAAATGTGTTTGAGATTTAAAATATGAGAATGAAACAGTCATACCTTATTACCCATTAGTCACGTTTCTTGTTATTTATCTAAGAGTTAGATGTAGTGAATTTTACTAAATTTAAACTTATGCCTGCACAAGAACCCCACCTAAATTTATTCATAATTTCCAAAGCTTGGAAACAATCAAGATGTCCTTCAAAAGGCAAATGGATAAATTGTGGTGTAGCCATAAAATGGCATAGTTTTTAACAATAAAAATTAAGTGAGACATGGAGGTGCTTGCTTTTAATCCCTTCACTCTGGCTGCAGAGGCAGAGGCAGAGGCAGGTGGATCTTGTTAAGTTCAAGGACAGCATGGTCAGTTCCAGGCCAGGCAGGGCTACACAGTGAAACCTTGGAGAACTCTTAAATGTACATTGTTAATTGAAGAACCCAGTCTGGAAAAGACTAAATGCTGTGTGATTCCATCTGTATGACCTTCTGGAAATGGAAGCACTCCAGAGATAGCAAAAAGATCAGGGGGAAGAAAGGTATGTAGGTAAAACACCAGGGACTTTTAAACAGTAACACTGTTTTATATGATGTTGTCACGATATACTCATCAGAATTCAAAACTGGAAACAAGGTGAGTGAACACTAATGCAGGCTGGACTTCTGTTAACAGTATGAGTCAGTATTCTTAGTTGTATTCTGTGTATCTTTGGGCTTTTGCTTCCCCTCCAAAGACCTGAGTATGAGGGCAGGTTATTAGCACTGTGAGGTCAAATCCAACCTGGAAGTCAGGTTTTACTGTATATAAACAAATGGGAGAAAGTAAGGTGCAGGTGCGTATCTAAGAATAAACATCAGGTCTTTCAGAACCTACCTAGATGGCAACTGAGAACATTGTGTTTTGTCTATCTAGAAAGCCATTTATTTGCTAAAAGGTATGATTTGCTAATTCAGTTTCTTAACATAGTGTAGATATAAAATTGTATTCTAGAAATTAAATTAAATCCCTCATCTAAAATGCTTCTTTGTATTAAAACCAGATGAGATGAAATGGGCTTTGGGAACTTTACCTTCTTTCTGACAGCAGGATGAGGAAAAGCATTTGATGTGATAAAGCTACATTTGTTAACTTGGAATAGATAAAGAAGTTAGCAGAGATGACTGAGGTTAGTGTTGTGTAAAGCACTTTCAGGAACTCTTCGGTGCTGTCTGGATGTGAAAAGTGTGGTTGTGATTGGTGCTGGTCCACTGATGCCCTGTGTTCCTTCCCAGGTTCTCCAGCAGCTTTTGAACCACTTTAGGAAACGCAGAGACAAGGTTCTTCTCTTCTCCTTTTCCACCAAGGTGAGTCCGTCCAGACTGGACCTGGGGTAGCAGATTACTGTTACGTCCTCTTCATCCCCACAGCAAATTGTGGTGAGGGAAGCAACTCAGACCTTCCCAGCACACTCAGTTATGTGTGGAAATTAGATAGGGATGCCCCCATCCTGTCACACTCAAAGTAAAGTCTATTTTCTGTTGGTGTTTTTTTTTTTTAAATATTTAGGATATTTTAAAGTTTACAAAATGACATAAATAAATGTTTACATTATTTGACTGATGATTTTTAAGAAAGACTTATTAAAAAGAAAAGATAGCCTGTTTCAGAATAATAGAAAGAAATACATGGGTTAAAAGTGAGAAAGTATTTATTTTTTTGGTGCTGGAAATAGAGCCTGGGCCTAGCATAGGAAATCACTCTCGCACAGAGTTACACCCAGGACCCCTTTATCTATTGCTCATTAGTTAGAAGAAGGAATGGTGAGCCTAATGGTCAGTGCTCACCAGATGCAGCCTCAGTGGCTGGACAAAGCGACAAAGCCTGTGACTGAAGGAAAACTTGATGCCTCCCCTGCTCCCCTCCAGCTGCTGGACGTGCTGCAGCAGTACTGTATGGCTTCTGGCCTTGACTACCGGAGACTTGATGGAAGCACAAAATCAGAGGAAAGACTCAAGATTGTGAAAGAGTTCAACAGTACACAAGACGTGAACATTTGTCTTGTCTCCACGATGTAAGAAAACAAAACTGTATAGATTGATTTCTATATGGTTGGGTTTTTTTTTAACTGTTTTGGGATTAATTTTCACCAAATAGGTGTATTATGTTACTCTATTTTATTTGACTTTAAGAAGCAGTAAAAACTCTATCATTTGTAACTGGAATAGCAGTATCTTGAGTTTTACCTAATCTTTTATTTACTTTTCATTCTGGAACTCCCCGAGTAAAGACAGGCCTATAAGATGAGAATGAATACACCAACGTTGATTCCCAGGAATTCCTGGACAGTGTTGGTGCCCTAGGGTCAGTACCATTGGACTCTTTGCTCAGAACTGGGCACTGCGTCCTTCTCTGCCTTGTCCCAGCTGGAGCTGCTCCTGAGATTTTATAAGGAATAGATTTGTTCTTGCACCTACTTAGTGAATCTCTAAATAGAACCTTGTAAGGAAAATGTGTTCTTCTGAGAAAGATTTCAACCAGTAGAAACACCTAAGGAAGGTATTTGAGGGCATAATAAATACTTTGGCATTCTGTGTGAGACTTTTTAGGCTTTTCTCACTGTTTTTGAAAATAGAGAACTGTAGGGGGAGACCGCTTGGTTTGTTCCCAGCTGCCCAGGACCAAAATAATCTCAGAAATCTGTATTAATTGCAATACCGTTTGGCCAATAGGTTGAGTGTATTTCTGGCCAGCTCTTACATCTTAAATAAACCCATTCTACTTATTTGTGTATTGCCATGTCACTGTGGCTTACCAGCAAGGGTGTGGTGCATCTGTCTCCTGCAGGCTTCTCACCGACTCTGCCTCCTTCCTCTCTACATCTCTGCTTGTCTTTCCCGCCTGGCTTTACTGTGTTAAACCACTGGTCTAAAGCAGCAATGGTATTCACAGCATGCAGAGGGGAACCCATATCAGAGAACCTTTAGAAATCAAATGTGAGCCACACATGTGGAACTCAGGCTGAGTACTGAGGTGCAGAGTCAAGCTGCTGTGGTGTGACTGGATTCTTGCAGCTGAGAATAGCGGAGAAGCTTTGAACTCATTTGCTGTGGATGATATCGAACATCCCTCACCTAAGTCCTTACATTGAAAGCAGTACTTAGTGATGTAAATCCTGCCTTCCTTTCTTAAGTTCTGTGACACTGAACAGAGGTTGTTTTCTGAGAACAGCTGACGGCTCTGGTCTCACTGTAACTGAACAATCCCTACGTACCCAATGCACTGCATTCCTAATGTCTAAAGGAAAATGTTTATTTTTAGGAATCCTATTAGAGCTTTACAAACCCATCTTATCATTTTATTTGCATTTTGTTCCCTGTGTTTTTTAGTGTTTTAATTCTTCATCACATTATTAAAATTTTTGAAATTATTTTTAAAATTTATTTATTGTGGTTAGGCAAGGCTTATGATCTATCTTGCTGATCCTAATTTTTTTTTTTTAAGACTGGGGTCTCATTCTGTAGCCCCGTCTGGCCTGATGTGAACCAGGTTGATCTTGAACCTGCTTCTGCCTCCCACATACTGAGGTTAAAAGCATGCACCAGTACATCCAGTCCCTAAAATCTTTTTTTTTTTTTTTTTTTAACCGTATTCAGTTTTGTACTTGGGGTTGCTAATCATCAGGCTGTTTCCTCAGGCTCTTGCTTCTGGTACATGATTTCTTCACATATTTTATAGTTTTTTATTTTGATTTCCTGGTGGAACTTCTTTGGAGAACAGATGTCCTCCACTTGTGTGGTTTCCCTGTGTCTTTTATTACTGTCCTGACCAAGGCAGAAGTTCTGTGTGACCGAGTTCAAAAATAATTCTCTGCATAAGCCACTCCTTCTTTGACCTTTGCCCCCATCTGTATCTGTTAACTCCTGTCTTTTACTTTGTTGGGGCTATCACTGTTTAACTCCTAAAACACTAACTAGCTTTTAGAGCAGTTATTAGACATGCAGTATGCTCAGATGCACATATTAGACATGTAGCGTGCGCAAACGCACATGTGACCTCTCCTTGCTGTGCATTTGAGTCTCTCCACGTTTACCCCAGCTTCTCCATGCTGGGATTGTATTGTTGTCCTACCTTTGTCCCCAGGTTCAAGTCTCTCTGGAATCTCAGGAGCAGCTCCAGCTGGGATAAGGCAGAGAAGGACGCAGTGCCCAGTTCTGAGCAAAGAGTCCGATGGTACTGACCCTAGGGCACCAACACTGTCCAGGAATTCCTGGGAATCAACGTTGGTGTATTCATTCTCATCTGATAGGCCTGTCCTTATGTTAGAGCTAAACTGACCTGAAACTTTTGATTCCTGCTTCTGCCTCCGGAGTGCCGAGATCACAGTGTGCGCTGCCATCCCTCTCAGGGGTTTATGCTTTTTAATGTGTTGTTTCATTTTCTTTGCAGGGCTGGTGGACTAGGTCTCAATTTTGTTGGTGCCAATGTTGTTATATTATTTGATCCAACTTGGAATCCAGCCAATGATCTTCAAGCCATTGACAGGTATTATACTGACAAAATGTAAATGACCTGTGAGTGCTTGTCATTTAAATCACTCCGGGACTTTAGAGATTGCTTACAGTTAGAAAAGGTAGGTACCTTGTAAAAATTTGTATTAAAACATGACCCCAAACCTCTAAATTCAGATGGCAGGCTGCTCGTAGCCATTTGTTTTCCACCTCCAAATCCTGCTCATGTGAATAAGACCATAATACCAGCAGGAACTAGGACAGTTCATTGCTGGTCCAGAACTTCTGCGGAAACTCCAGAGAGAGACTTAGAGAGAACACTGCCAGCCTGAGTGACAGACACCTCGTAGGGGGTGGAAGCAGACGAGGGTGTTGCTCTTGCGACCTCATAGAGCAACATGAGACTGAGGCAGCTTCCTCTGTGAACTTCATACACAGGCGTGGTCTACGGTGAGTTCCTTAAAGGACGGTTTCACAGGTAGAAAACTGAGATTTAGGTCACTAAGTGGAGCCAGACAAGAATCCCAGGTCTTCATACTACACAATACAAGAAGTAATTGAATAAACCTATTGCCTACACAGGGAACTAGACCATCTTTCCACTTTAATTCACGTGCCTTTTTATTTTAATTACAAAAGAGAAATTAAGAATTATGAGACATTTCCATAAAAGTAGCAGCGTGAGAGAAAAGAGCCACAGGGAAAAACAGGCATTGAAGGAACTAAAATAAGGGTGAGACAAACATAATACAGCTCAGTAAGAAGAATACGTATGTAGTGAGCAAGAAATGTTATTAGAAATTACAGCTTTTGCTGAGATCAAACTCATCAGCAGATCTGAATAATAAAGTAGAGAGAGCGATGTGGTCTAAAGGATGTGCATTTTAAATCAAAGTGCAGTCAAATAGATGTAGAATATGAGTACAGAGAGAGGAAAGCATCCCCCCCACCAGAAAAAATCATCTGTTTGTTCCAGAAATAAAAATAGAAGACTGAAGGATGGGAGGGAATTAACAATATATCTGAAGAACATTGTTAATTTTGAAGGGCTGCCAAGCACTTAGTGCAAATAATGGCCAAGAGGGAGATGAAATCTATATCTTTGTTATATTTCTAATTCTGAAGATAAAGAGGACTAAAATACCCCAGAGTAAGAAATAAGAGGATTTATAAAAACAAAACCCAAAAGAAAAATCAAGTTAACCATAAATGGGAATCAGCTTCATCTCTGCAGGTCAGACTTTTTGTCTGTGACTATAGCTATGACCTTATGAGAAAGAAAACTACTTTGACTTGTGGTTGTGATCAGTGACTGACTCATTAATGTGTAAGACAAGATTAAAAGCAGCCTGACACCCGAGAGCTCAGGAATGAACTGCTGTAGGCCAAGAGCAGTGCTCAGACCGACTGACAGGACAGTGATGGCCGAAGAAGGTCCTATGTAATTGTTGGTGCTAAAACTTACTGACAGTGTGGCCAAGAGGCTTCATACAATTATAAAGGAAAAATTCTCCTAAATACTAAAGGATGATATAAAAATATCAGTAGGTAAGAATTGAAACTCCATGTAATTTTAGAGAAGTGTCAGGATTATTCAAGAAGAAGGAACTCTTAGAATTTTTCTTTGCTTTCAGGAAACAATATCCTGATCAGTTCTCAAAAATTTTAACAATGATATTTTTAAATACTAGAAAAAATTAAGGGCAACAATTATAAGAACGAGTCATGGGTGATCCCTCACTACTGTTTGAAAGCACAGGTGACTAGCCCTCATCCTCCACACATTCTGCTTCTGAAGTTATATACAGGAACATACGATCTATTCAAAGTAATAGCAAAACCAGTCTCCAGACACTTTCCTTAAAGATAGACAGTGAACATATAAGACAGACTTTAAAGTAACCATCTTAAATTCTCTAAAAACTGAAAAAATACACAGAATCCTAGAAAATACTGGTGGGCAAAATGAGAAAGAATATCAGCAGAAATAAACATTATGAGAACAAAAGTACAAATACTCTGAACCTGCCATCCAGTTCTAGAATTAAAAGCTTCACTAGACTCAACCCTGACTTAAACAGGATGAAGTAAAAGAACCTGTGAGCATGGAGCCATGGTACTTTAAGATACTAAGCCTGAGAAAGAATCTTTTAAAAAGAAGGAAAAATAAATCTCACCAAAGAGACATATTTTCCTTTACTTTTCTTCTCTTTTCTCCTTCCTCCTCATCTAATAGACCTCTTTGCACATTATGGAATTCTCAGCAGAGGAAAAAAAAAAGAAATAATAATTGAAAAGCTTCCTGAGTTTGAAGGAAAATACAGGAAAGAAAAAATTCCATGTTGAGATGATCCCAAAGAGACTTGCACCAAGACTTTTTCAGGCTGTCAGTAGATAAAAACAAAGCCAAAGTCCTAAAAGTGGCAGGATAAAACTGTAGGATATGTGGAACTGATCTCCACAGGCTCATCAGTGATTGTCTCAGCACAGACCTGGCAGCCAGAAAGCAGTGTGCTAGCGTGTTTAAAGTAGTAAATATGTATAAAGTAAAAATGGAAAGACAGCAGACAGTAACTGGAAGCTTTATGAAAGTCCATCAGTCTAAGTAAATCCATGGACAAATACAAATATCAATAGAATTTAAATGTTTGTTTCCAATAGGATTCAAAAGGAAAATGCATATGAATCCATCTGTGCATTTGTAATATATGTTTTTATATATTTTTTATTTATGTATATGCATTTATGTATATGTGTCATATATATAGAAACAACAGAGAGAAAAGGAATCAGTGTATCACTAAAAAGAGAGAGAGAGAGAGAGAGAGAGAGAGAGAGAGAGAGAGAGAGAGAGAGATCAGTTAAAAATACAAAGGAATACAAGAGTTAGTTCCAGGACATGCTCCAAAGCTACAAAGAAACCCTGTCTCAAAACAAAACAAAAAAACCCACAAAGGAAAATCAGTAGTGGAGGAAATCTGACAAAACAGTTAAACACAGCACAGGCAGCTGAGCGTAGTGGTACAAGTCTTTAATCCAAGTACTCTGGAGGCTGAGGCAGACAGATTTCTGTGAGTTTGAGGCCAGCCTGGTCTACGTAGTGAGTTGAGAACAGCTAGGGAAAGGCCCTATCTCAACAAACTAGCAAAAGCAAGACCTCCTTTGTTTTTTTTATTTGACCATAGGCAGATTCAGCTCCCAGATCAAAAGACATAGATCTCAGAACAGATTAGAAAGGAATATGGGGGAGGATGGGAGTATCTGACTACATGGTTTCTATAAGCCTCGGTGTGCATTCGAGGATATGTGTAAGCTGGAAATCAAAGGCTGCAAAAAGATATTTCATGAAAATATTAACCAAAAAAGAGCAGAGGTATTGTGTTAATAGAATAAAAAATAGACTTTTAAGTAAAACCTGTTATAAGAATAAAAGAGGGACATTGTGCAATGATTTTTAAAAGTCAGTATGCCAACAAGTTATAACAGTTACAAACAAACATCGAGCTCCAACCCCTCCAGCTCCAGATAGAGAACTTCACAGCAGACGTAAAGAGAACACTTGAACAACATTGGAGACAAATCAGACGTGACAGATGCTTCTTCCAACAAAGCATCAACAAAGTGTGTTTCTCTCAAATAAACATACAACATTCTCTAGAATAGCCCATATTCTAACCTGTAAAAAAGCCTTAACATGTTTAAAAATACTTAAATTGTTTAGTATTTTATTTTTCATTTGCAGTAGAAGGAAAAACTCAAATATTCACAATTATCTGGAAATAAAACAACCTGCCCAAAACCCCTAACTGGTCAAAGAAGTGGCAGAAGAAATTTAACATGTCTTTGAAGTGAATGAAAACATCATTCCACACCTTATTGGATACAGTGAATAAGAGAGAAATTTATAGCTATATATCCTGACTGAGAAAATTGGGTACCGAGGGTGGGGGGCAGAGACTAAGGAATTGCTGTTTGGTGGATAAGAAATTTCAGTTTGAAATGAGGAAGGTTTGCATAGTATACATGATATTGGTCCCAAAGCACTGGATCTCTTTTTTATATTTCAGCTGTATGCTCAAATGATTAAGTTTATGTAGCATGTATTTTATCATGAAAGAAAAATCAAAAGAGCAGATGTGGTTTGTTCGTTTGTTTTTTAGAAATAAGTACTAGTGAAACCACTGTAGATCACTAAGTTCTCATTAGTTTATAATTTTAATTTCTTCTTTAAAGTTTTATTTTATGTGTATTGTTTGCCTGTATGTGCACTCTGTGCAGGTAGTATCCACTGAGGCTAGAAGGGGACTTTGGGTCCCCTAGAATTGGGAGTTACAGGTGATTGTATTCCAGTTCAGTGGCTACCAGGAGTCAATCACTGAGTCATCTCTCCAACCCCGAATTTTAAATTAATTCCTTAGAAAAGACTGAAAGTGAATGAAAAACACAGTATAACTTAGAAAACAAGCAAGCAAACAAAAGAGCAATAAGAGAAAGTTATAGAAAATTATCATTATTAGCATGATATAATTTAAGTTATTAATTAAAAGAATGGTGGGAGAGGACAAGGCAGAAGAGTTTAAGAGGCGGAAAGGTGCCTGGTATGGTAGCACACACTTGTAGTCCCAGCACTGTGGAGGTGAAGGCTAGCCTGGTCTCTATAGCAAGATCCAGGCCAGCCAGAGCTACGTAGGAGAGCTTGTCTAACAACAACAACAATAATAATAATAATAATAATAATAATAAATAAAAATCAGAAAGGCTTACTAGCAACTAATGGCAAGTACTTTACTGAGTTACCACCCTAGGTCCTAATTTTGTACTTTTTCATCTATATCCTATGACTTAACTGTTCCACCTCCCTCATAACACAGTGCATTTCTCTCCCCAACCATCTCCTTCCACTGAGTCTCTAGAACAAAGAGAAATCAAGACATTGACCTGTGTGTTGTAAAGTAGTTCCTTTATATTTGTCTCTATATAGTAGAAGACTCATCATTTGTAAGACCCTGTTTGATGGACCAAGAACTTGATGAAGCATAAGTACATGTATTCAAGTTTTACCCGTGGAGATTAAAAGACAAGCATTCTAACACAGAACACAAAACAGTGGGCTACACACACACACACACACACACACACACGAGGAAGGGAGAGATTTGATATTTTCTTGGATCCTTTTCTGTTTGTTTTTTTTTTTTTACAGCCCCTTTATTCCCTTCTGCAGAAACAAGGTTTGCAGTACCCAAAAGTCTTTATGAGAGAATACCAAATATTAATAGTATTGACAGTGATCTCTCAAGTTCAAAATAAATTTTCCCCAAGTTATAACATTTTTCAAGTATTATAAATAGTTAATAATTAATAGTTAATAATGTAAATAGTTAAGTCTTGTCCATTTGCATCAGGAACTCCACAAGTGTTGAGGAATATGACTGTTCAGAGCGTCAATAGAGCCTGTTTGAGAACCAGAGGGAGCAGACTGGTAACCACTGTGGCGAATCAGTATGAAGTGTGGTTGGTATCAGGGTCTGTATCACAACCTGACAACCTGGGGGTTTAGGTAACCGAGTGATTGACTCAGACCCAGAAGATATATGTCAGTTCTTAAACCTGCATCCGAGAATTTTCAACTATTTTTAACAAAATTTATTTTTATTTTCGTTTTTATTCTTTGGGGGAGGGGTACTTTTTATTGTTTTTATTTTAGATCATTTTATTAAAGTGTAATTGCCATATTTGCATATAGTAAACTTGACGAACTTAATGTATACAGGTGGTGAGTGGTGATGATTGCGTACACCATCACCATAATCAAGATAATGAATGTATCCCTTCCCCCACAGGTTTCTTTGTACCTTTTGTAGTTTGTCCTTCCTGCCCCTTACAGCCCTTTGTTCCCAGGCAGACATTAATCTTGCTTTTGCCACTATGGATCAGTCTGCATTTGGAGGAATCCATAAGGAGGTCCCCTAAAAGAAAAAAGTAAATTTAGAAAAGAAGTTTGGGGCAATGGACGATGATATTTGTAACAGAACATTTTATATACCTTTTCTAAAGTATTCTCAGCAACTGATCTTTTATATGACTAGATATATTTGGTTTATTACTAAATAACACCACATAACCTAAGCACAAGGTATTAAAAATGTTGTGATCGTCCACGACTACGCATAGAAGCTGCTTCTTAAACTTCGGGTTGTTTCAGCTGACATCCTGGTTTTAATTTCCAGAGCATACAGGATCGGGCAGTGTAGAGATGTCAAAGTGCTCAGGCTGATATCCTTGGGGACTGTGGAGGAGATCATGTACTTACGGCAGGTTTACAAACAGGTGAGAATATACCTCATTCTAAGTTAGAAGTCAACATGGGTCTATTTTCAGAAATTAGGAACAAATTTGTATAAAGAACTTTTGAATTTTTTACTCTAGTGTGTAATTTACTAAGATTATAAAATATACTCTTCCCATACACGTGCACAAAATAGAGTAATTGTTAAGTTCATTGGATTTTACTCCTGAAAGCTTCTTAAAGCAATATCTCTTAAACCGTAATGTGCACTTTAATCACCTAGGGATTTGTTGACATTCAGGTTCTGATTAAGTAGGTCTGAGGTACAGCCCAGAGACTCTGCATTTTGTTTGCTTCCTCCTGAGTGCTAGGATTTAAGGCATGCACCACTACTGCCCAGGTGACTCTGCATTTTTAACTTGCTCCCCGGAATGCCAGGACTCAGCGAGTACACTGACCACGATTTAAGTTATACAGTGAGCCAGGGTGTGATATGTGTACTATAGGTGAGTTTCCGGTGCACAACTCACAGCAGGAATTCCTGAGCCACCTTCAAGCCTTAAGGGACCTCCTCTTTTTACTGTAGGTTGATATTCATGGGTTCTTCTGTATGTGCTGAGACATGAAAAAGATGGAGATACAGAGACACCATAGGAAACTGGCTGCAGAGATGCCCAGGAGATGAGATTGTGTAGCTAGAGCTTCCGCTGCTACTGCTTGGTGCTCGAGTGTTCGTCTGAAATCTCATTGGCTCTTTAATATGTGTAGGATATTAATTTCTGTTCTCTTCATACGTATAAATAAACATTTCTTCATTTAGGATTGCTCATTTGAGAAGCTCTGAACTGAGGCTCAAGTTTAATTACAAGTATTAAATTTGAATTGCTCCCTGTATATTTGACTGGCATCTATTTAAGAACAAACATCTTTCACATGTGGTGGTAGTTAACCTAAAAATGATTCAGTCTTAAAACTCATGCTAACTTCTTCATTCTAAAAATAGGACCATGCGCAGCAGTTTGTGTATTTTCTTAAATCATTTAGCTCTAAAGGAAATAGTTTGGAACTACTTGAGAGAAGTTTTTTCTAATTGAACCACTTTTGAAAAAAATAGGCTATTTCTTAGGACCTGTAGTTTTGAGTTCTATCTTAAACTGGTCATCAGTAATGTTTTCTTAACCATGTAAGTGGTTTTCAACCTATTATTATATGCACTTTTAGTTTTATCTAAAACGGCATATTATATACTGTAAAATAATATATAATAGAAAAATTTCAGGAAACTGTAATTTAAGTGTTTAGAACTTTGTATGATACATACAAAGATAAGGTAGCGATCATATAAGGAAAAGGTAGAACACATGGTTTAAAGATAGTTTGGAATTTGAAACAAGGATGCATATCAGGCATACATACATTGAGCCTCACATTCTTTGAGAAAAGAATAAAAAAAAAACTAAGAACAAAAAAAGCTGTAAATATGTTGAAACACAGAAGGTTACTCAGGGCCCAGAAATTGTTTAAGGATCCTTAAAGACAGAAAAGAAAAACTCAGTGAAACTCAGCCAGAAGAAGAACACCAGAAAAGTTAGACAGTCACTACCCCAAAAAAGAATTCCTGGAAACTCTCTGGAGCATCATGTGTAATAAGGTGGCTTAATGTGTATTTTCATCTGTGCACTGTGTAGCCAAGAGTTGTCTGTTCCCAAGTGAGAACAACAGGTAGTGATCCTGGAAACAAACAAGTAAGACAACGCAAACATTTTGCTGATTACACAAAAAAGTCACTCTCATCACCCAAGCTAAAAACTTAGACAATCTCTGCTCTACTTCGAACAGCAATGGAGTAGGCCGAAGTGAGTGTGGATTGAAACGCAGAGTGACCAGGTGAAGAAAAAAAATGAAGAGCACAACAGAGCTGGATTGTGGTTAGCAAATCTTAGTACCTGGAACCATATTATTTCATATCAAAAGCTATGTTTATACACGAAACTCTTTCTCTGTAGCTGCACTGCACTGCAGGGACATCCAGAAAGATCTAAGGGAGAGCTCTTGTTTAAGGAGGACTGGGATGGGATTTGCTGTGCGTCCATGCAGGGATCAGATAGTCTGTGGTTTAAAATAATATTTACACAGCACCTGTGTTCTTTCAAATTTGGAGCATCATATACAATCAAGTTCGGCATTTTGTGATTTGTCTTATTTGTATGTTGTACATAGGTATACCTATATATACGATTTATTTAGAAAAACTTACAGAAGAATTGAATTGACTGAGCAGCTCAAAAAACTCCGAACTTGCCCCAGTTCCCGTTTGATAACATTTTCCATGTTTGCCTTCTCCTTGTTGGAGCTATTACCTTTCTTCTTTCTCTGGGCCATTTGAAACTCACAGACTTATCATCTATGTGTATTTCCTCAAAGGTCATGTTTAGATTTTACACACATTACATTACATTATGAAATAGTTAGCAAATAGAGAGTATCCATATGGTGATGCTAAAATAATATATATCCACATATATCCTAAATTACTCCATTGTTGGGGTTCTCAAAACTCTTGACGGTGGTGTTTCTAGGATTTTCATGGTTGTTGTCAATGAAATATTGTGGTTGGTAAATCTGCAGTTAGCTTGGCATCAGCATGTTTATTGTATAGTTACTTTAGATTGTAACATAAGTGATATAACAATTCTGCTAATAATTAGTTTTTTATATTATAAGAAATATTTGACATGAAAGTATCAAAAATTATAAGAATTTTAAAAAATCTTCATAGAAATAGGTTCTTCTGGAGGATAAGGCATTAACTATATATTTGACTAATAGCAATGTTAAAATCTTCATTCTATTTTGCTGTTTTAGTTTGCTTTGTGTTACTATAATAAACATCAGAGCAAAAGCCACTTATGGTAGGCAAAGGCTTACTTGACTTAAATATACTTTTTAATGTAGTAATTTTAAAAAAGAAAAATGTATTCAGATGTCAGATTTCATTATTAAACATTTATAATAAAACATTTATAATAATATAATCTTGACTCAGTATTTAAAAAACAGATAAAATAGGAAATATAAAATGCCTGCTTCAGCAAGGTGGCCAGATTATTATTTCACCATAATGGCAACATCTGCAGGGAAATTGAAACAAAATCTCCTCCTTACTGCAATTCAGCCAACCAAACTAAAACTGTGTGTATGCAGGGAGTGCCAGGAAACTCTGACATACTGCTGGAGCAAACATTTCCGAAATATCTTTTATTTTTCTGTTCTAGCAACTTCACTGTGTGGTGGTTGGAAGTGAAAATGCCAAGCGATACTTTGAAGCAGTACAGGGGTCAAAAGAACATCGAGGAGAGCTCTTTGGTGTCCACAACCTCTTCAAACTAAGGTCCCAAGGGTCATGTCTTACGAGAGACATCCTGGAGGTATGGAGCTGTTCTGTGACCTCTTCAGTGATGATTTCAGTACAGTTTTATCATTTGGGAATTTTCAAAATACAATTGGTGTCTCCTTGTCAGAGAAATTTTTTGTTTTCCTTAGCATAAATGCCTGTTTAGTATGTTTACTTTTAAAGAAACGGGAACTGAATTGTACCTCAAAGCCAAGGCTTTCTCGTGGATGCTGATAGATAATACACATCCATGTGTTCCATCCACGCGTGAGATAGTGCGGCCTCCACGGCCATTTCAGACAGACAAATTTATAGATAATACACATCCATGTATTCCATCCACGCGTGAGATAGTACGGCCTCCACGGCCATTTCAGACAGACAAATTTAAGAGTTTATTATTCTGAAAATGGTTGTTGAAATTGAGAGCTAAAAAATTAAGATTTTCCTAAATAAACAAAACTGTAAAACATGTTTTGATTAGAAGTTACAAAATACTCCCTGAGATGTACTCTCTTGTCTCTTAGAGATTTTTGTTTTCTGTTCCCAATAAAAATTCCACACCAATATTTCAGACTCTTAGCTATGTTCCTGCTCAGCATACAGATGTTTCTTATTCTTCAAATGAGACACTTACATGGCTTTAAAAATTCCTTAAGTTCGTTAATTTACCAGAACACTGAGAATATTGTCCTTTTTCTCAACTGATATTAGTGTAGATATGATAAAGCCCTGGAATATCATCCTTTTCCATCTCCTTCTTACATAGATGAGGAAACAGCCAACAAGAACTCCAGGCTGCTGGGACTTTGTAGTAAAATTCTTAACTGTATTTCATTTAGTAAGCATCATAAATAAAGTTCAAGAAAAATTAATCCCTGTCTTTGAGCAATTTCTGTCCTGATGGAGATGAGATGGAGGGCATTTACACAGGTGGACATATGTACTGTGGGTGTTAAGTGTAACACTTGAGTAGTGGTTCAGGGTGAGCACTGGGAAAGCTAGAAGACCTGTGGACTGACTCCGAGGAGCTGAGCAGCCCAGTGACGTTCTGTAGTAGATATGCTAGGGAATGCACTGCTGATACGACTAGAGCTTGGTGATGCTTGGATGGCGGTGCCCTGTGCTCCGCCTTCACACATGAAAGAGCAGCTGTGATGGGCGGAGTCCTGGGCAGATGGGACACTTGTGCTTCCCAGCAGTGCTTGCAGTGGAGCTGGACACAGCCACTAGTGGTCTATTTGTGAAACTGTATGAGTTTCTTCTTAGGATGCAAAGCCTCTTAGACTTAGCCTGCCTTTGCTGTTACCTTTCTGGTTGTTTCACTCTGTATTTATAGCTGTTTATATTCTCCCTTGTGGACATTATAGAGAGAAGGCCAAGTGGAAGCTGGCATCATGACAGCCACGACGTGGTTGAAAGGGGGACTTTCAGCACAGGAACTAGAAACAGTGAGTAACCAGAAGACATGGCCTGTGACAGTCTTTTCTTCTACTTCTTCCTTCATTTCTCAGTACACAAAAAATAGAAAGTTTTCTAAAATCTCAGGCATAAAGTCATAGGATGATGAATGAAATTAATTATTTAAGGTGCTCAATATTCATATAAACAAGTCCAGGAGCAGTCCCAAATTAAACACCTTCTGTAAGTGACCACACCAGACTATATTATATTGTTTGTTTGTTTTGTTTTTTCGAGTTTTTTTTTTTTTTTTTTTTTTCGAGACAGGGTTTCTCTGTTTTGCTTTGGATCCTGTCCTGGAACTAGTTCTTGTGGCCTTGAACTCACAAAGATCCACCTGCCTCTGCCTGCTGTGTGCTGGGATTAAAGGCCTGCGCTACCACTGCCTGGCCAGACTTTTTTTTTTTTTAAACTGAAGAACAAGTTAAATAGAGAAATGACCATCAATGTGCATCTAAGATTAAACCCAAGTATCAAAATCATTCAGTAAATCAAAGCAAGTATTGTGTTGGTTTGAGTCTGTGATCTTAAGATCTCATCATATAGCCATGAAACCTATCTTGTTACCAGAGGCCGTGTTAGGTGTAAGATAAAAGAAATATACGGAAGATTTTTATTCTGTGGGATAATGCTCTTGTGTACACTGTAAAGATTGGTCACTCGTATTGGTTTAATAAAATGCTGATTGACCAGTAGCTGGGCAGGAAATATAGGTATGGCAACCAGACTAGGAGAGTTCTGGGAAGAGAAAAGGCACAGACACAGTCACCAGCCAGATATAGAGGAAGCAAGATGAAAATGCCTTACTGAGTAAGAAACCAAGCCACATGGCTAAACATAGATAAGAATTATGGGTTAATTTAAGTTGTATGGGCTAGTTAGTAATAAGCCTGAGCAATAGGCGAAACAGTTTATAATTAATAGACGTCTCTGTGTGTTTATTTGGTACTGAACAGCTGCAGGACCAGGTAGGACAGAAACTTCTGTCTACATTTTTATGTTGCTATTTTTGTTTTTGTTTGTTTTGTTTGCTTTTGAGATTTAAGTTTATGTGAACTGAGTGACCTTGAACTCAGGGGACTTGTTTTTCTTTACAAATTTTGTATTCTACCAAGTTGGATCAGGCTCGGGTTGTTAAGCTAGGTCACGGGTGCCTCTCCCTCTGAGCCATCTTGCTGGCCCAGGCTGACAATTTTTTTTTTTTAATGTAGATAAACACAAATATAAAATATTGGCAGAAGTATCAAATTACTTTCTGAAAATATTAACAAATTAAGCCTTAATTTTAGGGAACTGAAGGTTATCCTTAACTTGGGTTATCATGGAAAGGGAACTGAATTTAAATTTGTAGCAAATTTTGTTCTTGAGACAGGGTTTCATATAGTCAAGACTGGCCTTGAATTCCTGGTGAAGTGGAGGATCGTTATAAGAAGCTGCAAGAGTATATTAAGGGTTCTCAAGAATTTATTTAGGTATAAAATAGGGGTAAACGCTCACTGATACTGAGGGATGTAGATGCCACCACTGATCAGCTGTCTTCATCCAGTCTGTTCAGGGATGAAGAGCAAGCTGCCTACTCCGCTCTGGCCACCCAGGAGAGCATGAGAGCAAGAGAAAGCGAGATCCTCTCCCTAAGCTTATAAATTGTCACATCTGCAGACAAGTCTCGCCCTAGGACTCAGAATCCCCAAAAGCCATTGGCTAAAGGGATCAGAATCCCACAACAGAGGATGGTCTTGAACCCCTGATCCTCCTATTTCCCAAGTCCTTTGCTTTTCTAGCTGTAGACATGCACCATTGCACACCACCCTTCCCTCATGTTTTCTGATGTTTCTGACTGCTTTTTTATGTAGCCTAGAGACCCTGACTGTCAAGAATCCACAGAGGTTTGTGAGCTCTACAATGACTTCAGTGATGATGAGACAGTGGGCCGCTCCCTTGGAAAGACGGCTGAACACAGAGTCTCTGGCCCCAGTAGAGCTGCAGGCTCCTCAGCGCAGCTCACTTTGCTGCAGTGTGGATTCTCTAAATTGTTTGAGGCCAACTGTAAGTCGGTCCAGGATGGCGATGGAAATGCTGCCTCCAGTGATGAAAGTTCTGATGAGCAGCCCACATGCCTGTCAGCAGAAGCCAAACAGGCTGCTTGTCAGAAAACTCGAGACTCTGTTTGTACTTCAGAACATCAGAAATCAGAGAACATCCAAAATCCTAATGAAAAATGTGGTTTTGATAAAAGTAAGAAGACTTTAGAACAGAACGTTTCTTCTCAATCTGATGATGAGAGACAGTATCACAATACAGATGGACATCATGTCAGGGGACAAAATGACACAGAGTCAGAAGACAGTGATGTCATCTATCCCACACAGTATCCAGCTCAGAAAGCCCCTAATAACCGTATACGCTTTAAGCTGCTGTTTGGTGAATCTGAAGATTCTGAAGCAGAAAACCCTGTGAAAAGACATTGTGTTGCTGGTAGACAGAACAGTGGCAAAGGAAATGGACCCGTTTCAAAACCCTTGAGTACTGAGAACATGACCTTGAAACTTGTTAGGAAAAGAAAAGATACAGATGATATTAGCGATGAATCTGATGACATTGACATGTTCCCCAAGGCAAGAATAAGAAAGCAGAGAGCTACTACTTCCCTGAAGTTTAAGAGAAAAAAGGAAAACAAAAGGGAGCCTTATCAGTCTCCCGGAAGAGCAAAGGAGGCAGAACAAGTGCACGCAGATGGGGACTGTAGCTCCCAGGTCATTGACGACTTCTCGTCCTCTGATGACAATGTATCTGTCAGGCGTCGGAGTTCCTCTGAACTAAAAGATAAAATCAGTTTGTTCTCCAAGCTACCTGGCCCGGCTAAGAAAAACAACACTTTTATATCAAGGAAGCCAGCAAGCTTTTTAAATGAAAGAGTAGTCAGTCAAGAGCAAATGTGTGACTCAATGGATAAAATATTAGGTAAACATTTCTCTAAATAACTTTTTCAGTCATATTCTAAGAGAGATTATTCAGCCAGCTGTAAAATAATTCTAAAGTCAGGATGCTGCATTGAGGCAATAATTCAGGATAATGAAGAAATAATGAAGGAGGTAAAGGAAAGGCCGCCTACAGGAGGGTGGAGAGTTTGCTCTCTCCCTGTGAAGCCCCTCCGTGTGGCCCACCCTCAGCACAGCTTCTCTGTGCCATAGAACCAGTTACTTTGACTCGTAAATTCCTTAGTATATTGTTAAGTTTTCTCTGATAGCGTGTTCAACTTCATCTTATGTAGTCTGTGTAATCTGCAGGAATCTTCCTCCATCCTTTCATTACCATGTAATTTACTTACAGAGTTTCCGTCAGTCTGCATTTACTCAGTTTTCTCAGCAGTCAGACATGTTCGCCGACCTCTGTATTACCTGTGATTTACCTGTGTAGTAGTTCAGTGGTCATATTATTTGTACGTTTGCATCTATAGTTTATGTACTGTATTTGTAATTATATATCTTAATATGTATATTATACATATACTCATTTGTGTATGAATGTACACACACATATTTTATGTAGTTGTATGTGATGGTGAATATACCTCATGAACTATATTTATACTTCCATATTAATAGTGGTACTTAATTAGAAAGTTATCTCTCATCTCCATTATATTTGAATATTATTTCTTTCATCTTGATCATTCTGGTCACATACAAAGACTGATTTAGTTATAATGTCCCATAATTGCTTATTTGTCTCCTACTACATAATAGTGAAGGAATGCGTTGGCATGGTACCACAGTGAAGGTTGGAGGTGTATCCCAGAAGCAGAGCATCACAAAAACAAAACATTTTTAATTTTTTAAGTTTTTTGTTTGTTTGTTTTTGATAAACTGTTCCATTTCTTTACACTTTTACAGTGGATACACTGTGTCTAAACTGCCAGAGACTTTGGCTATATTCTTCCCCTTTGGTTTCACTCCCTCGTGGTGTACAGGTAACTAGAAATTTCATGGTCCCTTTCAGTCCTCCAAGAGTCAGTGTCTCTAAATCATATGCATCATCTGGACCTTCTTTTCTAGTAAATCTTTTAAGACATGTTGCAGAGGGACTTTTTTTTTCTGCTGAAGTTCATGTGATAATGGTTTGTGCCCTGAAAGCTAGTTTTGCTGGATATAAAGTCCTTGGCTCACATTTTGCTGAGTATTTTCAATATTATTTTCTTTTCATTGCTGTCCAGTGGTTTCACCAGACTGTGTGTGGTGTTTATTCTGAGTCAGTATTCTCATGTGCAAATGTAGTTTCCACTCAGTCTTTCTTTAGGAACATCATGCTGCCATCAGTTACTTGTTCAGATGTTCCGTCTTTGTCACTGCTCTTGAGAATTGATTATCTCTTAAATCATTTTTATCTGTTCACTTGTTTGGGTTTTTTTTTTTTTTTTTTTTTTTTTTTNTTTGGAGCCTGTCCTGGAACTAGCTCTTGTAGACCAGGCTGGTCTCGAACTCACAGAGATCCGCCTGCCTCTGCCTCCTGAGTGCTGGGATTAAAGGCGTGCGCCACCACCGCCCTGCACTTGTTTGGGTTTTTGTCATTATCTATTTCCTCTTAATGTTTCTTTTAGATTAGTCTTCACTTACAAATGACATTTTCTTTTTGTTTTTATTTTTAATTATTTTTTTAATTTGTAATTTTTATTTATTTTATATACCAACCACAGTTCCCTCTGCTCCTCCTGCTCTTCTCTCCTTTCATCCTCACCTCCTGCTCCCCCCCCCCCTCCTTCCACTTTCCATCCCACCCATACATCTCCTCCTCAGAGAGGATAAGGCTTCGGTGTGTGGACGTACTATGCTCATGTATGTTTTTTTTCAATTTTTGTGCATTCTACACACCATCGAAAATTTCCCCACCCCCTGCTATTTGCAGCAACCCCCCCCCCCCCCCCCCCACCACCACCACCACCACCAAATCCAGTCCTCTGAAAGGGTAAGGCTTCCCCTGGGGAGTCAAAAAAGCCTGACACATTAAGTTGAGGCAGAGCCAAGCCCCTCCCCCCTTCATTAAGGCTGATCAAAGCATTCACCATAGGGAGTGAGCTCCAAAAAGCTCATACACTAGAGATAGATCCTAATCCAAGCCATACCACTGTCACCCACGTACAGAGAGCCTAATTTGGTTCCATGCAGGCTTCCCAGCTGTTGGTTTAAAGTTCATGAATTCCCACGAGCTTGGGTCAGCTATCTCTATTGCTATCTTGATCATGATCTTGACCTGCCTTGCTCATATAATCCCTCCTCCCTCTCTTCAACTGGACTCCAGAGTTTGGCCTGGTGCTTGGTTGTGGATCTCTGCATCTGCTTCCGTCTGTTAATGGATGAAGGCTCTAATATGACAGTTAAGGTATTCACCAATCTGATTACAGGGGAAGGCCAGTTCAGACACCTTTTCCACTATTGCTAGGAGTCTGAGCTGGGGTCATCCTTGTGGATTCCTGGGAATTTCCCTAGTACCAGGTATCTTTCTAACCCCATAATGGTTCCCGCTATCAAGATATTTCTTTCATTACTCTTCCCACTCTATCCCTCCCCCCAACTGGGCCATCCAGTTCCCTCATGTTCTCCCCCTTCCCCTTCCTTCTACCCACTCCACCACCACCCCCATTTACACAGGAGATCTCATCTATTTCCTTTTCCCAGGGCAATCCGTGCGTTCCCCTTAGGATCCTCCTTGTTACCTGTCTTCTCTGGAGTTGGGGATTCTGATTTAGTTATCCCTTGCTTTACATCTAGTATCCACTTATGAGTGAGTGCATACCATGTTTGTCTTTCTGGGTCTGGGTTACCTCACTCAGGATGATTTTTTTTCTAGTTCCATTTGCCTGCAAATTTCATGATATCCTTATTTTTTACCACTGAGTAAATAACCCATTATATAAATACACCACATTTTCCATATCTATTCTTTGGATTAGGGGCATCTAGATTGTTTCAAGGTTATGGCTATTATGAATAATGCTGCTATGAACATAGTTGAGAAAGTGTTCTTGTATGATTGAGCATCTTTTGGGTATATGCCCAAGAGTGGTGATGCTGGGTTTTGAGGTGGATTGATTCCCAATTTTTTGAGAAATTGCCATACTGATTTCCAAGGTGGCCATACAAGTTTGAACTCCCACCAGAAGTGGAGGAGTAGTCCCCTTACCCTACATCTTCTCTGACATAAGCTGCCATCAGTGTTTTTGATCTTGGCCATTCCAACAGGTATAAGATGGTATCGCAGAGTCATTTTGATTTGCATTTCCCCATGACTAAGAATGTTGAGCAATTCCTTAATTGTCATTCGGCCATTAAGATTCTTCTGTTGAGAATTCTCCATTTAGATCTGTATCCCATTTTTTAATTGGATTATTTGGTATTTTGATGTCTAGTTTCTTGAGTTCTTTATATATTTTGGAGATCAGCCATCTTTCAGATGTGGAGTTGGTGAAGATCTTTTCCCATTCTGTAGGCTGCCATTTTGTCTTACTGACTGTCCTTTGTCTTACAGAAGCTTTTCAGTTTCAGGAGGTCCTTTTTATTGATTGTTGCTCTCAGTGTCTGTGCTACTAGTGCTATATTTAGGAAGTGGTCTCCTGTGCCGATGTATTCAAGGCTATTCCCACTTTCTCTTCTATCAGGTTCATTGTAACGAGGTTTATGTCGAGGTCTTTGATCCACTTGTACTTGAGTTTTGAGCATGGCGATAGATACGGATCTATTTGCATTCTTCTACTTGCCAACATCCAGTTACGCCACCATTTGTTGAAGATGCTTTCTTTTTTCCATTGTACAGTTTTGGCTTCTTTGTCAAAAATCATGTGTTCATAGATCTGTGGATTAATGTCAGGGTCTTCAATTCGATTCCATTGATCCATATGTCTGTTTTTATGCTGCTACCAAGCTGTTTTTATTACTACAGCTCTATAGTAGAACATGAATGAAATCAGGAATACTGATGCCTCCAGAAGTTACAAAGGACATTTTCTTAATGTCTAAGTCTTTCTGAGACATTCCACCTCTCATTTCTAAATTATTGTAATTATGATTTATATTTTTGGGGTGGGGCAGGTGTTCAATAGAAGATTTCTCTCTGTAGCTCTGGCTGTCCTGGAACTCACTCTGGCTATAGAACAGAGATCCGCCTGCCTCTGCCTCCTGAATGCTGGGATTAAAGGTGTGCACCACCACCACCTGGGCTGATTTATATTGTTAATTTGTGACTTCTTTCATGGTCTTAAAGTGTTTTGACATCAGTCTTTTTTGTGAGTCTGTTATTTACCTGGTTTTGACATCTGTCTGTTTTGTGAGCCGGTCATTTCTGACAGGGATATTACTCTGCTGCTTGTTCTTTCTTTGCTTATAATTTTTGGGATTTGACCCAGATAATTCTTTCCATCTTTTTTTTAGGGGAAATTATTCCCCTGCTTAGTGCTGAATCCTGCTCTCTCCTACACACACTGATCACCTCCCCATGTTGCTTCTCTTTGCTGGGCCCTGGCTGGGCAGGAGCACCAGTAAGTGGGCCAGTCTGGGAATTTTTATTATATAGTTAGTTTGGTAATTCTCCTGAGGCCTTCTTACTGTAAGACTTCTGATCCCTTCAGTCCTAGTGAGCAGAACACCTTCCCTCTGGGTGACCCTTTGTGCCTCCCAACAAATGCCTGTTGGCTATCCTGGGATCACCTGTTCTTAGGTCTGTCACATGCCACACCTCCCTTCTTCCACAGTACAGATGTCAGCACTGTACAGCAGTGATTCTCAGCCTTCCTCACTAGTGCGGATGCTCGTTGTGACCTCCAACCACAGCATTGTTTTCATTGCTGTGTCATAACTAATTTTGTTACTGTTACGAATCATGATGTAAATACCTGTGTTTTCTGGTGGTCTTAGACGACCCCTGCGAAAGGGTCATTTGACAATCCCCCAAGAGGTTGTGACCCCATAGGTTGAGAACCATAGTTTTGCCATTGGCAGATTGCCTCTACTTGATTGTAATTTAGGGATCATGGAAGTGCCCTGCCATCTAATTTTGTTTTCATGTGGTCCATAGGTGTCTACTTTTGTTGTCTAGTTGCTTTTTGATTTCACCTGGGGATTCAGAGGGAATGAACAACCTTTGTTCAGAATCTACTTAGTGGTTATGAGTTAGCATTGCTTTATGAGTGTCTGTCTTATTCCCCATAAATCATGTGAAGAAAGATGAAATAAGGTGCTACATGCAGCTTGTTAACTTTTATTTACCTCTGGATTAGGCTTTCTCTTATGGATAAGACCCATTTAAAGTATCCCCATTATATCTGTGCATCCTGGTCCCATAATTAACTCAGCACAGGATTATTGGTTGGATTGTTTACTCCAGTGAAATTAGAGGGCTAAGGATTTGCTACAAACGCTTTTAAAAATGATCACGTGAGGTTTTTAACGGCAGGTGTCAGCAGTTGTAGTTAGTGGTATTTTGTGTCACCTAGAGATGTTTTCCTGGTAACTTTTAATTACATGATGTCGCAGTGTGTAGTGGTTTGTGCTTGGTGATTGCTGGAGAGATCAGGGCTAAACCAGCAGAGTGTTGAGGTCGCAGCTGAGGTTCATTGCCAGGGCTGTTTGAGAAAAATTTTACAGGCCTTACTTCCAGCCTCCTCTTTTATGGCTGTAATTTCAAAATAAATTATTAGAGCCTAGAAGCAAAGCAATAAAAAAAAATACAGCCACTTTTAAGACTTCTTTCAGATAAAAAGCTATGAGTTAAATTTTTTTTTTCATTTCCTAAAAAGCTCTCATCTTGACATTCTCTGGGCATGTGTACAAAAAAAGACAAAATACAAACAATAAAGCCGAGCACCACCAACCAAACACAACTTTCTGGTCATAAACCCCATGTTCTCGTCCATCACTGCCATCAGGGCTTTCTTAGATGAGCAGATAAGCCTAGAGCAGCTCCTTAAATGTGCAAGAACAGTTTGAAATTAGCAAGGAAGAAAAATCTATACAGGACCATTAACCATGATTCTCACAGACAAAAATCTCCATTTTAGATTTAAATTTAAAAATTCTTACTTAATTTCAGCAATTCTCATATTGATAACAGTAGAAAGTCATTCCAGGTTAACCTGAATCAACATATTCGAATTCCTTTTTCCGTTTCCTTTTTAAAATGTTGCGATAGTAACGTGGTAACATTAAAATAAAGCAAGCTATTAAGCATAGTTGCTTATACTCCTCAACAATACTCAGGAGGCTTAGAGAGGAGAATTACCAAGAGTTCTAGGCCATCCTGAGCTGCAGAGTAAGCTCTTATCTCAAGGAAGCACAAAGATAATAATAATTTTAAAATACAGCAAGCATAGCCAGATGTGGTGGTGCACACCTTTAATCTTAGCAATGGGGAGTAAGAGCCGGACTGACTATGAGTTTGAGACCAGCCTGGTCTACATAGTGAGTTCCAGGTCAGCCAGGGCTACTACTAAGTAAGGCGCTATCTTATAAAGAAAGAAAGGGAGGGAGGGAAGGAAGGAAGGAAGCATAACTAGGAGGCTAAGACAGAAGAATCACAGGTTTGAAACTAACCTGGGCTGCAGAGCAAGAAGGTGTCAAAAATAGAGGGAGTAACAAAGCAGGTATATCCTGTTCCTAGTGTGCTGTGGATAAGTAGAGCCGATTGCATCGTAGTGATTAATCATGTAATAAACATGTTTGCCTCCTAGGTGGTGTTCAGGAAGTGGCATATATCCACTCAAATCAGAATGTGATTGGATCAAGCAGAGCTGAAAATCACATGAGCCACTGGGCAACACGTGATGTATTTGAGTTGAAGCAGTTTTCTCAGCTCCCTGCTAATGTAGCTGTTTGCAGTTCTAAGGTAAGAAAATTTAGTTTTTATTTCACTTTTCACAAAAGTTTCTCAGTAGGGTCCTTTTTGATGTTTTTGTTTTTGTTTTTCAAGACAAGGTTTCTCTGTAGCTTTGGAGCCTGTCCTGGAGCTAGCTCTTATAAACCAGGTTGGCCTCGAACTCACAGAGATCCGCCTGCCTCTGCCTCCCAAGTGCTGGGATTAAAGGCATGTACCACCACCACCCAGCTAATAGGATTCTTTTTATGACCTCAGAAGTAGCTGCTGATTCTATTAGGAGACATAGAACTAAGTGTGGAAAAGCCATATAGCATTGTAATAGTTACAGTCACAGAAGATGTTGGGAATGTGTGGTGGCTTGAATGAGAACGTTGCTGGAGATGTATCACTGTGGGCAGGCTTCCCAGAGTAGTCTCTCTGCCTTCTGCTTGTGGATCAAGATACGAATTCTCAGCTACTGTCCAGCACATGCCTGTCTGCCTTCCTGCCTCACACCAGGCTCCCTGCCGTGATGGTCACAGATTCTAACCCTCTGAAACTCTAAACTCTAAATAAACTCTTTTTCTTTTATAAGTTGCCTTCATCTTGGTATTTTATCACAGCAAAAGGACAAATTAAATGACATCCTCCTACAGTATCCGTAGAGTAAATGTAATGATGGGTTTTAAAAGGACCCAGTTTAATATGCAAATTTAGGTTTTTCTTTTGAAAGGAAGCAGATACTGTTTTTTGCCCTCCCATTACCCTTTTGTGTTTTTCCTACCCCTCTCCTTTTTAGACAACATCCTCTGCTTGCATATCCCTTTCCTACTTCCATATTGTGTATTTACATTTTTATTTTATTTAGATTCTCTGTACAAGAGAAAACACGTAGTGTTTGTCTCTCAGTCAGGCTTATTTTGCTGCATTCAGCAAGAATCCCCTTCGACCCATTTTCCTGCAGGGAACATAATCTCATTCTTTCCCCTTGTGTATATAAACTTTATTTTCTTTACCCGTTCATCAGTTAGTGCATCTCTGCTGGTTCATGTCTTGGCTGTTGTAGATAGTGTTAGAATGAACATGGATGGTCAAATATCTCTGCAGTACACTAGAGTTAATGAGATAATTCACTGGATATTGGCCACACGGAGAACATCACAGTTAACACAGTTCATCTAGATGTGAGCTTGAAAAGCATCTCCCACATGTAGAGATAGTAAGCAGCCTCTTCAGAGCCATCTTTAAGAAAGATGTGAAACAAGAAATGCACCTCCCCTCTATCCCGCTTTGACCTCAGCGTTTTATAGGAACAGTCTCATCTGAAATCCTGTCTCTGCATAGTTTTCATAATGAGATTCATCTCCTACCATGAAAGAGGCAAGTATCTATCCTGTGAGGTTTCTTTTTTTCATTATTTCTAAAACTTTCCATAATAAATTTTGGTCACATTCTTTCCCCTCCCCCAACTCATCCCAGGTCCCTCTCTCTTTATCCACCCTACTTCATATTATTTTTCTTTCTTTTGTTAAAAAAAGGAAAGACCTAAAATACACAAGCTTTTTCATGTTTCTTTTTTATTGTTGTAGTAATACTTACTAGTTTTTATTGGTAGAACATTCTATAGATGTACTAAAGTAAGACCTCTTTCTCTCGAAATAAATTTGTAATTATTCCTGTTATTTGACAATACAAATATAAAATAGTATGCAAAATAACATATTTCACCTTCAATTATACTTATTTTCTGTTTTTATTTTTTAATTATTTTTAAATTAAAATATATTACTTCCCTTCTTTCCTTTCCTCCCTCCAACACCTTGCATGCCCACACTCCCTGTCAAATTGATGACCATTTTCTCTTTGATTATTGTTGTGTACACATTTATATATATATATATATATACATATATATGTATATACATATGCATAAATAATATAAATATAACCTGCTGAATTTGTGTGTGTGTGTGTAAATTCAGAGCTGACCATTTGTATTTGATAACCAACTTAGAGTACTCATCCCTGGGAAAGAATCCTCTCAGCAGTCATTAGTTGCCTGTAGTTCTTTGTATAGTGAACCCCATGAGATTTTTCCCTTTCAGTAGAAAGAAATAGTCATAATGATGTTGTCATTATTGTGGGTCTCATTTAGGCAGCCATATTGTTGTGGTATCATGGGTGTTGCTTCCCTGTCATGGAAATCCATATGGAAATCATTAAAAAGCTAAAAATAAATCTTATATAATCCGTTCATCTATACTGCTTCTTGGCATATGCCCACAGGACTTGATATCCTACCCAATAATACTTCTCAGCAATATCCTTGGCTGTGTTAAAATTTCAACAACTTAAATATCCTTCAGAAGATAATGAAATGTGCTATATATTCACTATAGAATGCTATTCAACCATAACAAGCAAAATTTATATTTTGATATTTAAAGACTATCTTTGTAAGGATATCTACAATGAAACCGCATGTGTCTTGTGTTTCAGTTCAGACCAGAAAGAAAGGTTTTAAGTTTGTAAAGGAAAGGCGCTGTGTGTCCCAGACTTCACTCCACCTGTGGGGCTCTGTGTCCCAGGACTGTACTGTGGGGCTGTGTGTCACAGAATTCTGTGCCTGTGGGGCTGTGTGTCTCAGAACTGTACCTGTGGGGCTGTGTGTCACAGAGCTGTACTGTGGGGCTGTGTGTCTCAGAACTGTACTGTGGGGCTGTGTGTCACAGAATTCTGTACCTGTGGGGCTGTGTGTCTCAGAACTGTACCTGTGGGCTGTGTGTCTCAGAGCTGTACTGTGGGGCTGTGTGTCTCAGAGCTGTACTGTGAGGCTGTGTCACACTAAGCCTGTGGTGATTCAGCTTCCTTTCTCAATCAACCACATGTCTTCAACTTAAGGTTGCTTAAAGTTTTCTGAAAAAAAGTGTACAAAGACAGCATTCAATTAAGGATTAATCACTATGGCAACTGAGATATGGTGACTAAAGGGGGAGGATGTATTCTCCCCTGAGTTTCCTGCCAGCTGTCATAGTCAACCTTTGCTGCCTGAATCCAAGCCAAAATATAGACTGTGACCAACTCTAAGAAACTATATCTGTATTTTTATAAATTGGTACAAGTATCAGACTATAAAAGAAGACTTAATCCCCTGAATTGGATGACAGACACTTGGCACTCCTGCTAGTGTTTGACAGAAAATAATGGGTCACTTTGTAGTAAAACCTGGATTAATAGTAAACCCTTCTTTATATGATTTCAGTGTGCTGTAAATGAGTGGGCTAAGCGGGCTGTCAGGCTGAGGTGGGAGTGTCTTTTTATAATCAACGGAGATTTAAGTATTGTTGAGAATACTATAAACTCAAAATGTTGTGTTAGCAGGAACTTCTCTTGTATGTGTGTTAGATTGACATTCTTTGGATTACTTACTGCAAGGATTTCTGTGAGCTTTGGTGGATTGATTGCAGTGTGTTTATACAACTTTGGAGTCAGCAAGGAGGAGTGGACTGTTTATAATGAGCAGAGTTTGGGTAAAGGGAACATTCTATTACTCTATTTTTATCAGGATAATCGTCAATGGTATAAAGTAATTGACTAGTTTATGAGGTAGTCCAGTAAGTACAGTGTATGGATTTAACAAGTTAACAGAATTTACTCTCAGTGGGGCTTTTCTTGTCTACTAATTTTTCTTCTTTATCTCAATATTAACTTTATCAGATAGTTTTTTTTTTCAAGTAACAAGTGGGATTAAGATTTCTGGGACTGCAGTGAATATATGCATGAGGTTATGGTACTACTATTGGCATGAAAGGAGCTTTGTGTCTTTATCCCTAAGAGGAAGATTGATTGTAGGTGACATTCTTTTCCACAAAAACAGTGCATCATCTGAGTGAAGAATACTCGTGTGTTAAACAGAAGGACAAGCCAGTGCTCTTGTATACATAGCCCTGTCCTTCTTAGAGCTACGGTCCAAGAAAACCTGTGGTATCCTTCCTCATAGTATCCAAAACACACTCACTGCCTTGAAAAATAATTTTTAAAAAAGGTGCTGAAATTACTCAAAACAGAACATAGATTTTTATTATTATAATAGTGGGAATGGCTTAATAGTCACATGAGGGATAAACTCTTCTATGGTTCTATGTAATTATCTATTATTACTTTTTGTTCGTTGTTCATTAATAAGGTAGCTTTGGTAAGTCTTCTAATTTTATTAAGAACCTGTCCTGAACTATGACTTATTTCCCATGAAAAGGGATAGAGAAAACATATGTATATATACATACATATATTTTTTAAGAACTTAGCCAGCATTGGATTAGATGAACAAAAATAATTTTTCCTTTTAGGAAGTGGTATAATTCTAACCCTTTTCCTAGATGTTGAGGCTTCTGATTGCACAAAGAAATTGACTTTGAAAAACTTCATGGTTTAGACAGTTGTGAGGTTTTACTAATTTATAAAATGCCATTTCTCCAAATAATGCCTTCTGGTAACAAGATAGAAGTTCAGAGGTTAAAAAAGCCTCATTGAACCTTCATTGGTTCTACCTAATGAACTAAGGGATAGTAAGCAATGAACAGTGCTTTTCAAATTGCATTTTATACCTTTATGAAGATCGTGGTGTCAAACAGACATAGTCACATGATAGAAACACTTACTACATCATCATCTGAGAACACTACCTCTGTACATGAAATCCTGAGTTTTTATATAAACATAAAATTGGGGGGGAAATCATTATATTTCAGTTTGAAGAATTTAGGGAAAGTATATCCACACATTTCATTTTAGTTAATTTTAAAGTGCGACACTAGGGTCTCCTTCCAGCCCCGGGAACAGCTGCCGGCTTCTATCCTTGGGACCTTTCTTGCCGCTTGTCTTTTCCTGTGTGTTCCTTTTCCTTTGATCTCTAGTTGAAGATTTCAGATTGATTTAAATATAATTATATCATTTTCTTCTCTTTGCTCCCTCCAGTCTCTCCCATATACTCCATCCTCTTTTCTCCCTCTCCAAAGCATGGCCTCTTT